GAGCTGACATTTTGCACACAGACTCGTTGTGCGTGACACTTTTTAGGAAAAAAGAAAATTTCATATTTAATTAAAAATACCAATGTGATAAAAATGAAACTCTTACTCAAGAAAAACAGAAATGAACAATAAAATAAAACCGATGCCACGCATATAAAGGATTTATATTGAAAAACTTTGTTTTTACGGGTTAATTTTTTCAGACACGAACTGGCCGCATGATAAATCAACGAAGTGACTTACCATTGTCGAAATGTATAGCAGCCGAATACTCCTTGCTAGTCGAGGCATGTTGGTGAGGTCGGGTGGGTAGTAGCAAGCGTGTCGTACTACTGCTTTAGACATCACTTTTCACCAATGTTAGCCATTCCCTGGGATCGAATTTGGGTCTGGTGGGTTCACGGCGCACGTGTGCCTCCTAACCACTGCACCCACCGGTGTTCACAAAGCACTGCTTGGCTTCTGGCGTGCGAGCCCCTCTGAGTCTACATCTCCGTCGGGAGCAGAATTACATAACTGGGGTTGCCCATGGAAACTTGAGGCAGTCTGCCGTTATTGACCACAGAACAGATGCACCAAGCTAAGACCGTCTTCAAGCCTTCACCGTCTTCACCAGCGCTCTTGCACACAGTGGTGAAGTTTCCGTTAAGGAAGAGCGCGAACTTGGCTACGTACGGTGCAAAAAAAGTTCATAAGTACATTGTCCTCATTGTTGCTTTCGATGGACAAACGGAGCCACGATCAAGACCGGAGGGGTAAGTTGTTTTTGAACGGCCATTGTTGTTGCCGATTTAAAATATTGAATGTGGCCGTAGCAACATATTTGGCCGGCAAATCTGTGGACTAATTGCCGGTTTAAAGTGAGATAACAGAGGAAAAAAAACTATCACCATGCTCATTCGAGTGCAGTGCTGTTCTCTAGCTCCGTGTTAGGAATCCCACACTTATGGCATGGACTGCTTTTTCTCCTTTTACATGGACACAGCAGCTGATGCTCACTTTCTTGCATCGGTGTGGAGGAAACGCCACATTACCTTGATGGGGGCATTGTCACTTGATAATTCAATAGAGCAACCCTGTAAAGTGGTGACTTATCGCTACCAGGTGGGGCTCCGAACATTGTTGATGATGAACGGAGTTAACCCTGGCTGGGATTTAACCGCAGAAAACCCTGGTCTCGTCTGGAATAACAACTTTGTCTTAATACCATATAAAATACTTGCTTCATCCAACACAAAACGCTCGCCTAAAGGTGTAAAATATACCATAATAATTTACCGTGATAACCAACATTGCCCAGAATGTGGTGAAACTACGGCATATCACACTGTAAGAGTCGCAAGAATCGTATCGTTTATTTTGCAAAAAATATATATCATGATTATTTGTTGCTCGTTACATTTTTTCTCATTTAATTTACCGACAATAAATTATTCTTGTATCAATTATTACTTATTAAAGTTAATAATAATGAAAGTAAAATTAAATATCACCCATTCAATCCGCACTTTGTAAAATGTGTTCTGGAGTAATTGACTGCATGATGGTTGTATGAGATGTTAACTACCTCGCCTGGTGTACTGGAGGTCGTGGGTTCGATCCTGACCCCGACTCCTATGTATTTAGAGTTTGCATGTTCTCCCCGTGGTCTTGTGGATTTTTATTCGGGTCCTCTAGTTTTTACTTCCAGATTTATAATTAACATGCGTCTTAGGGCATTTGGCCACTATACATTTCAACATCAGCCACTTTTTTTACTATCATATGTGGCCAGGTCGCTTCCTGAAAAAGAGCTCTGTGGGCCTTACCTGGTAAAACAATACATAGTCTCGTTTTATGTTTAGACCACAACAACTCACTCTGCGGACGTGGTCAGCGACAGACCGCAACGCATTTTGTCGACGACTATGCCCTGACCTACGACTCCGACGGTGGACTTGGGTCCGTCCCTCCGCGCTGCTGATGAAGCGGCTGTCGCCCTTGCTCGGCGAGACGAATGTACAATAATGATTAAAAAAAATAAAATCGTCCATGTTGTTTTCGCCCAATACAAACCTTCGCATTAAGGGACCTGAGGCGGGCAAAGCCACGGTCGCGGTGACACGAAGCGGCATCGCTCGTGCCGTCTCCATGGCTGCGTTCCTTTTGGGGGTCCTTAGAGTGGCTGCTCATGCGGCGTCATCTTTGAAGGCCTCCCTTTTTGATGTGCCGGTAATCTCTCTACTGTCCGATTCGTGGCATTGTTGCTGCCACAGCAGCAGTAAACCTGCTGTGAAATCTATTGACTTTTTTTTCCCCACCAAATCTTGTCCCGCTTTTGGTATCCTAAGACGAAGAATCCATTGGGAACTCTTGCCGCTTTGCCAGTTTCACAATGTGATACTTAAATTCTCACCATGGGACCCGTTTGTCTGTCTATGTATGTATGTTGAACTTCTTTCGCACCGTATATTAGCCAATCGTGCTAATTGGAGGTGCGGGACAATCGTCGGAGTCTAATGTCTCGTGCTGTGGTTTCTTAACCTGGGATCCACACATCCCTGGGGGTGTGAGATGCCCTTTTTGGGGGTGTGAGACATGGCCAGATTTTTGTTGAAGGTAAATAATCGAAACGCAAATTAAGCACAGGCACGCAAGTACTAATTTGCTTCATAAAACACATGTACAATGATCCCTCGTTTATCGCGGTTAATGGGGACCGGAACCCCTCGCGATGGGTGAAAATCCGCGAAGTAGGATTGGCCCCCTAGGAATTTCCGTATGTGTGTGTGTGGGTACCAGAATGTTTAAAATATGTATATTTATACTTTATATATATATTTTACTTAAATCTATTTAATTATCAAACCTTAATATTATACATTCTCTCTCTCTCTCTCATACGATACATATTATGGTGTTCTACACTCGCCAATGACAGTAATATCTTGAGACTTGACTCCAGTAATGACGACGACGATGACAATGACGATGACAATGACGACGATGACAGACCTGTGCAGTTCGATGAATGTGATGATGAATGATGATGATGATGGTGTTACTGCACATGTATAATGAGGCCTTTAAATCAGTTCGAAAAATCCGCGATGCACTGAGGCCGCCAAACTTGAACCGCGAAGTGGCGAGGGATTACTGTAATCATAATATAGGTTTTTGGGTCAGATCGCGTTATTTATAAATGTGTCGTAACCCTCCACCACCCGACACGGCCAAACAGTAAAAAATGTCACGTTTTTCAAAGGACAAAATAATTCACTTCTTTAGCCCACCGGTGTGCTGAAGAGAGAATCAACAGCATTTTCTGACCCAAACCCTATATTATGAATAATATTGGTCGCGAAAGCCTACGTGTTTATTAACAGACATTTTATTACAACGGAGAACCAAATGGGGTACAAGGCTGCAGTAAAGGTTAAGAGCTGCTGGTCTATAGACTCCATCGGAGCCAGATTTGTGAATGTTATAAACTAGAAACTCTGCACATTCGTCAATAGCACCATATAACAAGTATAACCCGTAAAAACAAAGTTTTTCACTATAAATCCTTTATATGCGTGGCGGCTAGAGTCCTATCGTCCTCTGGCTTGAGATAGTTGCCACCTATGGGTCAGATGATTGCATTGCACCATTAAACAATTGGTAATTAAATATAATATTTGTCCTAAAAAGTGTAAAATTTTGGAAAAAAAATGTTCACGAACATTAATTGTCACGCACAACGAGTCTGTGTGGAAAATGTCAGCTCGATTGGATCACGGGAAGTGGGTTAAAAAACGACCGAAAGATTTGCACGGTCGTAAGCAAGCAAGCGAACTTAATATAAAGGATTTAAAAATGGGAAAGGTGACATTTTGGGCAATGGACCATCTTCATAGCACGTTAACATATTGAGTTTGTGTTCTATGAAGAAGGCTCGTTACCTGAAATATCACCTATTATGTTTTTTTACTTTTAAGACTGTTGATGAATGTGAATTTTGTTGGGTGCTTGTGCACCACTGCCAACACAGCATCGGCAAATAATTTGCTTTAAACTTCATCAGAGACTGGTTTGTTCGTCAAATGTATTGGTTTAGAGGCCCTATCGGAGACGGATCTGCCAGCCTGCTACCTAAATACCACCCCACAGGCCACTCATGTGGAATCTATTGGATACTTTTCTTTGAGTCCAGCTTGGTCTATTGTCTTAAGGACCCAATCGATATGTTTTGTTGTGCATCTTCCTTAGCTGGCATTGATATCACATTTATCCCTTTATTTAAGAACGAAACAAGAGGATTTCTCCACATCTGGTGAAGTTGTACCATTGGAACCTCCATTGCCAGTAGCAAAATATGATAATTGTCTTTTTACCCTTTTATCTAGCAAGAAAACTGACACCTTTTTTACAAGGAGTCATGTTTGCATTGGCCACTACCTGCGGTTGGAATACTCTGGATGGTGCATTGTCTTTGAGTTGTGCGCCTTTTGGCGTCATCTGGTCTAACACCATGTGAGACTAGGCTCTAAGAAAAGCTGTCTCGGGTGTGGACCAATCAATTTCAAGGACAGTGCATACATCATCAGAGTTGTGTTTTTTGTTTGCATTCCGACCGCAGGTATTGTGGTCAATGCAAACATGACTCCTTGTAACAAAAAAAGGTGTCAGTTTTGTTGCCAGATAAAAGGGTAAAAATACAATTATCAAGTTTGTTGTAATTACTGGCGAAACGTCATACTCTAGTTGTAAATGTTGTGGCTTTACTCTCCAACACACCTGTATGCTGTACTAGTAACGGGATAGGCATGTTTTGTTTACGTGGCAAACCTTACTAATTGGCTGTGTTGGGTGGTGGGCAGGTTTAACGACACATTTATATTTACGCCATCTAAGCCCAAAAAAAGCCCTCTGGATAATATTGGTTTGCGAAAGCCTACGTGTTCAACTGCTTTGCTTTGATTGAAAGGACCGCGTATTTGGAACTCGACGGCGTTGCCGTGTCCCGTCTCCTGTTGTAGGCCGTGTGCATGAGGCCACCGTGATGGGGATAGATGCGATCCACAATATCGTGAAGATGGAGTGGATGGATTTGGATAATCAAGGCCGCTGCAAGGAGGTGAGCAACGGCATGGCCTTGTCTTCCAACATTGTACTGGTCTCGCGTCCTGCTGTTTATACTTTTTCTACACCCGGATCTCCTTCTGTGTCCCCATCTTCTATCTGTCTCGGACTTAATTTTTATCCTTGTGATTTATTTTCTTGGTTTGTTTGTCTATTTCTCTCCTCTGCTCCCAGCCTCCTGTGCGCTCCTGCATCTCGTTCATGTCCTTTTCTAATTTTGTCACTCCTTTTCCGCCGTGTCAAGTTCCCCTCCATGTCTCATCCTCTCCATCTCTCCCGTTGACTAATCTCTGGATTTTCAGCATCACCTTGTCTTCTATGTCCAACCCTTTCACCGTTTCTTGGTTCCCGTCTTCCTACAATCTTCCTGGCTCGCATTGTCCTCCTCCTGCATGGGGATCCCCCCCCCCCCGTCTCCAAATAACTCCATATTTGTAAACTTCTTCCTTGGCTTCCCCCTTGTGTGCTTTTGGTGTTTAGTTTATTTTTAAATCCTTTATATTAAGTTCACTTGCTTGCTTGCGCGCTTACGACCGTGCAAATCTTTTGGTCGTTTTTTAACCCACTTCCCGTGATCCAATTGAGTTGACATTTTGCACACATACTCGTTGTGCGTGACAATTTATTTTCGTGAATTTTTTTTTCCAAAATGTCACACTTTTTAGGAAAAAATAAATTATATTTAATTACCAATTGCTTAATGGTGGCAGGCAATCATCTGACCTATAGGTGGCAGCCATCTCAAGCCAGAGGACGAGAGGACTCTAGCCGCCACGCATATAAAGGATTTATAGTGAAAAACTTTGTTTTTACGGGTTAATTTTCCTTCCCCTGCACCTCCGATTAGAACAGTTCACTATGCACGGTGCGAAAAAAGTTCTAGATACATACATTGGTGGATGATTGTGCTGAAATGTGCCTGTGCGTAACGGTGGGCGTGTATCCGTCCGTCTCCATGTGCGTGCAAGTTCTCTCTCCAAGATATATACCGGCTGAACCCCAAGCTGGCTCTGAAGGACTCGGACCTGATGCCTCCCCCTGCGCGACCCGCCGTTCCCGTGAAGTTACGACCGACGCCCTCGGTTGCAAACGCACGTGTCATGCGTGGGTCCGACTGCTCGGTAAGGAATTTCGGTGTTCTCAATTCAGATCACGAATGGCGAATTGAAATTGCCAAGTGCAGCACGATCGATTTTCGTGGAATAATACGTAGCTTGAAAGTCACCTCCTAAAATGAACGTTGAATGGTGACGTCTTTCTGTTGGTGGTCCTGAACTGTTGGGTCCGGATTTCTCCCGAAGGGCAATCATTCCTGGTAGGTCTCTGCATATGTGTGCTGTGTTGTAACTCGCCGAAGTGTTTTCGGGTTGCAGCGTGGGGTTCTACATTTGTCTGACGTTTTGTTCCACGGCCGGGGTGCATCTTTAGCAATTTAATTCTATTCAATCCCCGAATATACCGTAGAACTCCTCTTTAATGACTAATCACGTAACGACGGGCCTCCATCGAACCCAATGTGTTCACTGACCGACCATTCCTCTTGTCAATGACGGGCTGTTGTAGGTACAGTAAATATGAATTAATGGATTGATTAACCACGTGTCTTTTTAAGATTATGTGTTGTTAGTATATTTATGTTTTAATTAATATCCATTGTTTAAATATTTTAAAGTAAGTTATTTGGGTGAAAAAGGGTAACTTTCGATGCTATCAGAACGAATTAAGCCTTTAATGTGCATTTCCTTTACTCGCTTAATGACCATATCGCTTAACGATCGGTTTTGTGGAGCCAATTACCGTCGTTAAGAGGGGCATCTACTGTAGCGTATGTATGTTTAACTTCTTTCGCACCGTACGTAGCCAACCGTGCTAATCGGAGGTGCAAATAATTATCAGGCGTCCTGCCGAACAAGACGGTGTTCAACCAGAATACATCGGAGAGCTGTAGGGCCGATCATTGGTCACATATTCGATTTAATAGGGTCCGTAAAAAAATTAACCCGTAAAAACTAAGTTTTTCACTAAATCCTTTATATGCGTGGCATCGGTTGTATTTTATTATTCATTTCTGTTTTTCTTGAGTAAGAGTTTCATTTTTATCACATTGGTATTTTAAATTTAATATGAAATTTTTTTTCTCCTAAAAAGTGGAAAATTTTGGAAATATTTTTTCACGAACATCAATTGTCACGCACAACGAGTCTGTGTGCAAAATGTCAGCTCGATTGGATCACGGGAAGTGGGTTAAAAAACGACCGAAAGATTTGCACGGTCGTAAGCGCGCAAGCAAGCAAGCAAACAAGTGAACTTAATATAAAGGATTTTAAAAAACTATTCCGTTTTGACCGCAATTACAAGATGCTGTTGACTAATTCCAAGTACTAGTTTTATTGGCCCCAAAGGGATCATTTGATTGAGGGATACACTCTGAATTAGTTTATTTAATTACATTTAAAAGTACAGTTGGTCATCTTTCAGTGGTTATTAAAGGTTTCATGTCGTCATCATAAAAAAGTCCCTCCCATGCCATCGACCATCCCACACAGTCCTGCAACATCGCATCGGCACGCAACTGTTCTCTCACGAATACATGCAGCCCATTTGTCTATCCACTGCTGGATGACTGCCTCCCCCAGTGCCTTTTGGGTCACGGTGGTGGTTTTTGACGTGAATTCACCACGCTCGCCTTTCTGGGTTAGTGAAGGTGGTGGGGTGCATTGACGTGGGGCGCATGGATGCCACTGTACAGCAATAGATGTTGCCACACAGCTGCCCACTGCACAATGTATGAACTATCTTTTTTACAGGTAGGAACAACAGTTCCACACTGCCCACCAGGGATTATTTGTCTGTCTGTCGTGCATAGCCACGCCCTCGATTTGTATTTCATAGAGTGCTTCGGGCGGGCTCAGCACCACGTGACGCGTCGCCCAACGCAGCTTGCGCCGCGTGACACGGATCGCACGAATGCGCTGTCCAACCAAGTTCCTACCTGCCCACTCTGAAGGAATGTGTTGCTTGTCTTCCACTCCCAGGTCGGGAACAGCGTCGTCGGGCTGAAGCAAGAGCCTCTGCCTCAAAGGAGTGACTGTAAGACATTGCGCCAGAGAACGACATGGCAGGCAGGGGCAGCATACTCGATGCAACCAGGAATAATCACAATACCTTGCTGATCTCGTCACAGAGCATAAACCATGACGCAAACTCTGGTCATCCTTGCGGTGGCTTTTGGCTAGACATAGAACAAAGTCGGTCACCGCATCCAAATGCGCTTCTGTGGCTATCCGGAACGCTCTTCCTTCTGACATTAGGAAGCCACCGGACCTATGCACTTTAAAATGCTAGATTTAAAACAAATTTCTTTAAAACTGCTTTTTTGTGTTTAGTTGTCCTTCCCCCGTCCCTCCGATTTAGCACGGTTAGCTACATACGGTGCGAAATAAGTTCAACGTTTGTCCATGCATACGGGAGAGCAGGTTACCGAGACAAGTAATGGAGACTTTGTGGGTCTGGGTAGCATTTCGATGGAAGTTGAGATCTTATTTTGTTAGCAAAGTGTGTTTTTTGATAAACTACGCATCCCGTTTTTGAAGGATAGAGCAGTGAACTTTAACGTTGAGAGACAGGTGTTTGGGGCAGGGGTGTAATGTATGTTACTGCACATGCCAAGAGAACTTGAAGAGACCAACTGGAATAGACGCATCTGCCACGTTAATATTATTGCCATGGCCCATGATTGTCATGATAAAGGCAACTTTTGGGAGGTTCGGTATGAAACGTGATAAGAAAGTCTTGTAGTTGTGATTGGGAATAGGAGGTTGCGGTGGGGGGAACATGCATACAGGATGGAGGGGGGGAGGGCAGGCTACTGAGAGGCATTGGAGTGGTATTCAGTCGCACGAGGAAGACATCAATTCAGATGTTGATGATTAGACTTAGAGTACATAGAAGTAAAACAATGGGAATAGGTTATTTTCATTGGTGATTCTACTGATGAATTCATGTTCAAAAGTGGTATTGGAAAACCTGTAATCTAAATGTGGATATAATTGAGCTTGTGCATTTCAAGCTTAATTTCACACATTCTAGACACCAGAGACAAACATGTTAAAATTATGATGTTACAAACACATTTAGCTGGAGTAGGAGTGAATGGTTGTCTTTTCCGAGTGGTTTTGATGAGTCCGAAAACTGAAAATCCAATTTGCAGGAATGTCGGTTGAGTTGCGGATAAGCTAAGGGGCACATATGTAAAAATTAAGATTTAAAATGTGAACGTGACCCACAATCCCCACCCACCCCTTTCCTGAAAGTGAACCGCTCCTCGTGGCTGCGCCACCGAAGTTGCGAGTGTTGCGGACAGTGGCGTTGCAGCGTGCCCGGGCAGGCCACAAGTGGCCCCCTGAGTGTTTCGCTTGAGTTGGCCGCTCCTTCTGTGTAGGGCTGTGGGCCGGGGAGCGGCGGTAGGTGTGAGGCACAGGGAGAACCTCGGTGCTCCGACACATCCTCGCTGTGTTTCCGTCCGATACGAGGCTTTGAATTTTGGAGTATGGCGGGCAGGCGGCCAGGGCTAAAGCCTCGCCCAGCTGCTTGTGTTTTTTGAGGGACGCTTGGTTTTGGAGCTGCTCTCAAGCTGCTTACGTTGGCCCCGTCGTCAAGTGCCCCCCGAGGTCCTTTGTTAAGCTCGGGCAAGAGGGAAATTCTTTAAGAAAATAAATGATTGGTGTTGGTTGGGTGGCTCTCGCGGGATGCTATGTCGGAGCGCTGCACCATGCAGCACCATGGACGTCAGTGGAGCTAGCAGTGGAGTGAGTAAACAGGCCAGTGCATCTGTCGGGGGAGCCCAATGCTGGAGGAAAAAGAGGTGGGGGGGGGGGGGAATGGAAAACAGGAGACCCCGTTTCATTCCTTGTACCAGGACCCATGTCAGTCGTGCTGCGCCGCTGACATTGTAGATTATTGAAGAGCTGCTGTGGTAGTGGACGGACTGCCACTTGGGGTGGGGGGGTGCTGATGCCAGTATCAGGACAATGAGTCCCCAAGCCCAGGTGCTGTTTCAGTGAAGGTAGTCTGTGCGTACAGGGACTCCTCTATATTATTGGTTCTTTCCCTTCTACGTGACTTTACCGAAAGAACCAAGAATATGAATCCCTGCAGTCACGAAAGCTTTAAATCAAAGACTCCTCTACTTATGAACATTCGACTTGCGAACTTTCAGAGCTACGAACGAACCTGTCCGTATGTCCAGTTACCTGTTCGGACCGAGAAGTTGTAAGTTCAACCGCCGCGCAATAGGTGGCGGTGGTGGCATCTCCATCTGCAGAACATGAATAACCAGTGGCATCTACATCTAGAGGAGATTATGCAAACTTTAAAACGATTCCCCGCGTTTTGTGTACAGGCCGTACAACATGTTTGGAATTGACAGTAAATTTGGACTTACGAGCGAAATCGGCTTACGAACAGACCTCTGGAACGTAACTCGTTTGTAAGTAGAGGAGTTCCTGTATTGAAAGACACGGCAGCGCCCAGCACCTTTTGGAGAGGTTAGCTTTTCAGTCTGGAGTCCGAGTGTCTTAAGATGGCCATGTCAGTCTAAAAGGTAAAAACAATGATTCCGCACATGTTTATCCAAATTTGGTTGTATTTTTTAACCTGTTTCGTTCAGAGTTGAGCCATCGTGTGTGTGTTCATGCATTGCCTTGGGGAGCAGGTGGAGGGTTCAGTGGCTGCTGTTGTGCTGTGATCTTGGCAAACCAAATTCAATTCTTCCTCACCCTCCCGGCAGTGACGCTTGGTATCAGAATCTATCCTGGGACAAGCCAGTTCGGTTTAGCCTTGTGACCACACGTACGCGCGTGTCTGCATTATGGCTGTGTACACATATATCCATGACAACATGGGTGTGTGGTGTGTCAAGGACCTGTGTGCTTATATTTGTGTGCGTGTTTAATGGATTTGTGTGCGTCCATGAGCCCCTATGCGTGTTCACATAGGTGTATATGCGTGTTGTTTCTCATAATACCTGCATGAGTGGATGTGTGCATAATGATGCCAAGTGTTTGTATGTGTGTTTTGTAACTTTATTTGAGCTAAAATTGCAGCAAGTTTGCACAGCCGGTGCATCTGCTTGTCATCTCAATCAACCCATTGCACCTGGGTCTGTCCCGTGACCACCCGTCAGCAAGTTTTTGGCACTTCACATGGCCTCAAAGTGCAGCTGGCCTGGCATAGGCACCGTGGTGACGTCACCGCCACTTGATGGCGAATGGCGGCGGGTGTTGTCATCGTATTTGTATGTGTGTGTGTGTGTCATTGGCCCACGTGTGTCTGCGTTGTGTCAGTGGTGAGCCGACTTCCAGTTCCACGAGCTCATTCCGACTCCACCACCAGCACCCTACAACTAGGCGCCCTCCCCGAACACCCAGCCCCGGCGTTGCCCGCTGCCCACGATGGCGCCGCCGCTGCCTCCACCACCACGACCACCACCACCACTACAGGCAATGCAGGTTCGGTTCATCGCCGCGTGTGGTGTAGAGTCGTGTCGCGTCGTTCAACCCGTGGTGCGGTTGGTTGCGATCCCCCTTGACACATGTCATTGCACGTGCACGATGCTCGTCTTGCCCTGCCACGGGGTGGCTTGCAGGAGAAAGTGCACCTAATAGGGTGGAGATTTGTTTCCGAGCGTTGTCTTCTTGTGTACATGAATTTCCTCTGCGCGCTCGGGTTCCCTCCCACATGCAAAGTGACTTGATAGAAACTCCTTTGCTGGTTGCGGTAGCTATCCGAGCGCGTGAGCAGTGTATCTGCACCCGAGACTCACGGGGCCATAGGGGGCCCCAGGTGCCAATCGGTCTATGAAGGTGGGGGAAATTGGACAGGCGGCCTAGTTTCGTTCTCTGCACCAGGGCCAATGCCAACTCTGTCATGCCTCAGTCTCCTGCGCAAAGCACCGATACCTCAGAAGTCCCTGTTTGTCGTCCGTCATGTGTTCGCCAAGCTGCATTGGCTTCCAGTTGCCGAACGAATACAGGTAGTCCCCGAATTACGACGCTCCGACTTACGATATTTCGATCTTGCGAGATGGCGATAGCGATAGGAAAATTGCCATCAACAACCTAACATCGTTCGAGTGCGCAGACGAAGGACAGAATCTTGGTGAGTACAGTACAATATGATACGTTACGATACGTTCAATGCATGTATACACTACACTATACAGTACACTATACACTACATTATTACACTACACTATACACTACACTATTACACTATACACTACACTATTACACTACACACTACACTATACACTACACTATGATACGTAGCTTTAGCGATTTCATTTTGGGGTTACCACGATACGATACGTTCAATGCATGTTAAAAGTTTTTATAGCAGATCGGATTGTTTCCTAAAAAAACTTTCCATTTAAATTGCAGTTCACATAGGTAGGCTAAGAATTTACCTTGTTTTTTTACTTTACATTTGACTGTGCAATACAGTATTGTAATTAATAAATACGTACAGTGTATACTTTATACAGTACGGTACTGTAAATTGCTCTGTTTTGCTAAATTATCACCGTTCTTTAAGACTCCTGGGTAGGCTAGGCCATCTTCGACTTACGATATTTTCGACTTGCGATGGGGGTCGTCGTAACGCATCTCCATCGTAAGTCGAGTACTACCCTGTACATTATAAGGTTGCACTCATTACACACAAAGTGATTGCCACAAATTAACCACAATACCTTGCTGATCTCGTAAAGGGGCATAAAGCATCACGAGCTCCGGTCTTCGTCGTAGCGGCTTTTGGCGAGCTATCGAACAAAGACGGGTCACTGCATCGCACGCTTTCAGATGTGCTTTATGTTGCCATCTGGAAGCCACTGGAGCTTCACACTTTTAAATCTAGATTGTAAATTCATTTCCTTAGAACTGCTTTTTGTGTTTGGCTTGTCGGCCTTCTCCCGCACCTTCGAATAGCACGATTGGCTATGTACGGTGTGAAAGAAGTTCAGCATGCATGCATCCACACATCTGTACTGCATGTCATCGACACGAGAGGGACTTGGGCGATTCCCCCAACTGGGAATTGTTGAGAGTAGATTTGAAGCTTTCGTGACTGCAAGGATTCATATTCTTAGGTTTTTTTGGTAAAGTCACGTGACTTTACCGAAAAAACCTATGAATATAATTGTTGAGGGCCCTGCCACAGCATCACTGGGCCAGATGCTTTCACTGTGACTGCATCTCTGCTACTTGTGGTATTGTGATATTGTATGGTGGGGTGTTTTTTTTTACATTACATGACTAACACAGCTACAAATGAAATATAAAGTACAGATACCGGTCTTATTCATGATTTTTGATTTTTTGGATTATATCACGTCAATGTAACTGTCGTGTAAAACCCACCTCCTGCCAACACAGACCATTAGTATGGTTTGCCACGTGAACAAATCGTGCGAATTCGTTGCTCCTTCAGCATACCGATGTTAGAATCGGAACATTTATACCGGAGGAATCCGATGAGCTATAAAACTCTTTTTCACAGATGTCGAGTAGTAGAGGCAAGGGGTCGGAACATTACAACAAATTGTACAAAAACACGGAGGCTTTCGCGACAAATAATATTCATAATAAAGTAGTTTTTTGGGTTAGATCGCGTTATATATAAATGTGTCGTAACCCTCCACCACCCAACACGGCCAATCAGCAAAAAAGTGTCACGTTGAAGAGTGAATCCACAACATTTACAATTTTTGAGTACGACAGGCAATTTGCCATAATTCTGGCAAATTACCCGATGATGCAATTACCAGCGAAACGTCGTACTCAACAATTGTAAATGTTGTGGATTCACTCTTCAACACACCGGTGGGCTAAAGTAGTGAACTATTTGTCTTTTGTCAACGTGACACTTTTTTGCCGATTGGCCGTGTCGGGTGGTGGAGGGTTACAACACATTTGTAAATAACTTTATTATGAAATTATACAAAAAACGATAGGAGTGTTAATCCTGGTGTTGTATATCTCAAACGCATTAAGAGTTGTATTTTCACCGACCCACTCCTCTGACCCTTCCGTGACCCCCTTTACCTTGACTGATGACCATATAGCAGCAGCAGGGCGCAGACGAACCACTTACATGCCGGAGACGGACAAGGCGAGTCGGATCCGGACCGAGCGGGCGTTCCAGAATCAACAGCAGGGCCCTCGCGATCGCCGCTTGCGGGTTTGTAAGGTCGCACTAGTCGCACAAAAAGCGCTTGCCACAAACGAACCACAATGACCTTGCTGATCTCTCGTCAAGGACGAGATGTTTTCTTGTTCATGTTTGTTCTTGTTTGTTTGTTGCGGTTGCACCCGATTCAAGAGCCGAATGGTGGCTCACAGGGCTATAACTAATAAATGAAACTTGAACTTGAAGGAGCAATAAACCATCACGTGACGGTCACCGCATCGTGCACTTTCGGATCTGCTTCTGCGGCCGTCTGGAACGCTCCTCCTTTTAAATAATCTCGTTTGAAAACGATTTTGTTTACAACTGCTTTTTGTGTTTAGTTTTTTCTTTTCCCCCCCCCCGCACCTACGATTAGCATGGTTGGCTACGTACGGTGTGAAGGAAGTTCAACGTGCAAGTATCCGAGAGGTTGTGGAACAAACACTAACAATAGCCACTTGCAAGCCTGTGCCACGTGCTCATGTTGCATGTGATGTCCTGCATGTGCCGTGTTCATTGAAAACACAGGGAGCAGCGAATGGTCCTCACTGGGAGTTCCTGAAGATGATCCAGGAATACCGTGCCAACCTCGACTTCCATCCGCTCTCCATCTCTGACCAGGTTCTTGAAGCCCCCCCCCCCCCCCCCCCCCGGCGCCTGTATATTTGGCGTTTGCATGTTCTCTCCTTGGACACACGGATTTTTCTTTGGTTTTTCTCTCCATTTATAAACGTGCGTTTAGAGTATTTGGCTGCTACACATTTCCACGTGGCGATAAGCCGCTTCGTTCGGCTATCATTTGTGGGCAATTCGCTTATGAGAAAAGCTCTATAGCTCGGTGGGCCTCGCCTGGTACAATAAAAGTTCCGTTCATTCAGCACTCTGAGTTTATGCTGTGGCGGACCTTGGCTCTCTCTATTCAGGTGGAGGAGCGAAAGATCTGCGTCTGCGTCAGAAAGCGCCCACTCAACAAAAAAGGTACTCGTAAGGGGGGGGGGTGCGTGGGTGGGTGGGAGGGGGGGTGCGTGGGTGGGTGGGAGGGGGGGTGCGTGGGTGGGTGGGGGGGGGTGCGTGGGTGGGTGGGGGGGGGTGCGTGGGTGGGTGGGGGGGGGTGCGTGGGTGGGAGGGGGGGGGCGTTGGTGGGAGGGGGGGGCGCGTGGGTGGGAGGGGGGGGGCGCGTGGGTGGGAGGGGGGGGGCGCGTGGGTGGGAGGGGGGGGCGCGTGGGTGGGAGGGGGGGGCGCGTGGGTGGGAGGGGGGGGGGGTGGGAGGGAGGGGGGAAGGGGGGGCGAGCGGGGGTGGGAGGCTATGTAGTGAGTTTTGAAGTGTAACGGGGATTACACAAGTGATTCCACGATTTGTCCTGTAGACAAACCTCAGCTGTCTGCACTCACGACTGATGATGCCCCTGTGTTATCGCAGGAATAATTGCATGCATGTTGAACTTCTTTTGCATCTTTAGTAGCCAATCGTGCCATCAGAGGTGTGGGGAAAGGACAACGATTTAAACAAAGCAGTGCTAAAGAAATGAGTTTGCAATCTAGTTGAATGTTTATTGTGTAGCATTTCAAGACTCATTTGCAGACACATACCGAAACAATACATAGGAACCTCCCACCCCTGCTAAGACCGCATGCAAGAGCTATTGACAAAGATTTCTAGAATCGGTTTTACGATGATGATGATGGCTGAAATTTAATGCCTAGGCATTTTGCGACCAATATGATAAAAAAAATTCGGTCCAAATAATGTAAGTAAATGTGTATCGTACACCCTCCACCACCCAGCACACCCAATTTAGATTAGTTGTAACGTGAGCAAGCGTTGGCAGTCTCTTACTGCTTCGGCAATTCCGGTGTGCTGTCGAGCAATTTGCAACAATCTTAACGATTAATTCAATTCTGTGGATTGCTTACGACACTCATTTTTACTTGCCCGATGCGACCCGAAACTCAATTGCGAATCGGACGACGATCCCGTTGCTGGTGTCTGCGCACGCGTGACCCAGAGCTGGCGCAGAAGGAGATTGATGTGGTGACGGTGCCCAGCCACGAGGTGCTCATGGTCCACGAGCCCAAACACAAGGTTGACCTCACCAAGTACCTGGAGAACCAGACGTTCCGCTTCGACTACGCCTTCGACGAGTCTGCCTCCAACGAAGTCGTCTACAAGTGAGACGGCGCGGCTGGGTCACTGCCACCGTCGCTGCCACCGCAGCCCCTCCCACTGCCCCCCCCACCCACCCACCCACCACCCCATTGAGCCATTGCCTCACCTGAACACTCTTCCTTCAATCAGCAGTGCATTGATGATAGGGTTGTACATTATACAACTGTGGTAGTCTTAAATTTCGATTTAAAGCTTTCGTGACTGCAGGGATTCATATTCTTGGTTCTTTCGGTAAAGTCACGTAGAAGGGAAATAATAAAATAATAAAAATATAAAACAATTAAAATTCTCACGACGTTTTGACTGCAACACAAGCAATCATCATCCAGTGTGAAATCCACCTGATGATGATTGTGGATTTGAAATTAGATGTGGCAAGAGCACTGCATCAAGTGAGGGTGGGTGATGAATATTTGTGTCCTTGCAATTGCTCACATGCATGTGTCACGCGTGTCTGTGGGCCTGTGCGTGTGGTTACTTGCGTGTCACGGTTAGCGCGCTGCGCTACAAACCCGGCGACCCGAGTTTGATTCCCACTCGTGGCCAACACCAGTGACATATCTGAACCCGTCCTGGGGATTCGAAGGCGGCCGAGCATGGTGCTGGCCACCGCTGCGTGTGCCGTGTCGGCCTTTGTAGGTGCTCGCTGACAGCACTTGCCCCAACAGTCTGTTAAGGCTACACGGGGGATCTGTTTCTTTGTTTAGATTCACCGCCTACCCATTGGTGCAGACAATCTTCAACAAGGGCATGGCCACGTGCTTCGCTTATGGACAGACGGGAAGCGGCAAAACCCACGTGAGTTTCTAGGCCACCGAGCGGCCGCCCTTCGTCGTTGGCGGTGGAGCAGTTCTTGCGACGGAGTCGCGGCCCGTTAACCTCCTGGGAAACGGGAGTGCACTACTAACACATTCCTGCGGAGGGAGCTGGTAGGAACGTTGGGTTGCTCGGTCAATGGCCAGGGACAACGGCGGCATGGTGTTTTCCGCAAATATGGCCGACTGTGAGGGCGGGCACAAGCCGGCGTGAGTAGGTTAAACGTTTAAGGGCACCACGGGGTGACCAGCCCCCCCCCCAACCCTCCCCACCCAGCCCCTCCCCACCCCTCCCATTTGTGGATGCACGACGGATGGACGGACACAATAATCCCCTGTGGGCTGGTGTAACCAGGAGGTTCCTACCAGTAAAACCGAAGATTCTCAACTCCACAAGAGGCGATCATTTCGCGGTCTGTGTCTTAACACCCTCCTATGGCCAAATCACCCAGAGTACATATAATAATCATTGGGTGCTTGGCGTCACGTGACCGGCGCGGTGAGCAGTGCGCACAGAAAGGTCGCTTCACCTCGTGCGTTCGGCGTGCTTGTGCGTGACCGAAGTCAGCGTTTAAAGTTGTTTTTTCCCAGTTCGCCTAGCGCCGCCGAGTTTTTACTTAGTGTGCAAACGTAGTTTCGGCGGCGTTTAAAGGGGGCGACCGGGAAAACTTCCCGGAGGCGAAGGGATCTTTTGAGAATGGCGATGATGGTAGGGGCTATATTTTTCTTTGTTTCTTATTTGCAGACCATGGGTGGAAATTTCAACGGTCGCTCGCAGGATTGCACCAAGGGTATCTACGCCATGGCAAGTGAGTGATGTCACTGCACACTCGACTGTACCCAGTAACTGTGGGGTTAGGGGGGAAATGTGCCGAGACATTCCGTGCCATCTGTTGAGTTTGGGGGGGGGGGGGGGGGGGCGGGGGGTGTTAGGCGGGGGGGGTGTGCAATTGTCTGTATAATTTTAAATCTCTGTTTTGGCATAGTCAACATTATTACTGGAGGTGGCCGAGTGGTTTGATGGCAATGTCCACTTCATATCACCGAGCCAGCATCCCTGGGATCTTGAGCTTGAGTCCTGGTGTTGGGTGTGTCTCATGGAAACTTCTGCTCTAGTTAGAAAGCTGAGCAAGCAACTCTGAAATCCTCGAATAGAATGCTGGCGATTAGTGACAGTTATCAAAGGAGGCGAGATGCCAGCCGCGAGCATTATTGGAACATCCTTCTCCCCCGCTGATAAGTGCGTGTTGTTTAAGGTGGGGTGCATAGACGTGAGAGCATAAAAATACAGGGCAACACTTGGTTTGCTTGACTGCCGTCTGCTGCACAGCATTTAGCCCTCATAGCCTTATAATAACCCATGTGTGCATGGTGGTCACCCAAGTAAAGTAAGAGTGCTTGGGCAAGACAATGTATGTCTGGGAGGGATGATTACCGATGGTCAAGAATAGTTAAAACTAGAAATTAAATCATTCAATATCTTGATACTGGCATAAGGGTCCCATAGAAATAATGATGATAGTTGTAATTTATCATTTTCTTTGACTTTCTCACCCCTCCCTCCCTCCCCCATCCTGCCTAGCACGGGATGTGTTTGACCTGCAGGGAAACAAGCACTACAGACATCTGAATCTGCATGTGTACGCCACCTTCTTTGAGATCTACAGCGGGAAGGTGAGGACGTGCGCGTGTAATGAGTGTGAGCGTGTGAATGAATGGAATGCAGGTGTGTGCAGATGTGTGTGTGAATGGAATGCGATGTAATTTATAGTATTTTCTCAACCTCTGAAATAGGGGTGGTTTGTTTATAACTTAACTTCAGCATGCTGGTCAATGCGTGTTGTTGGTGAATGGGCTTCCCAGGACCGGTTCGGACATGAACTCGCCACTGATGTCAGCCGTGGCTGGGAATGGGAATTCAGGTCGCCAGGTTCAAAGCGCGGTGCGCAAACCGCCGGCTGTATGAAATAAATGTGAACCAGGTACAGCCCATGGGCTCTGGGTTCCTTACCCGAATGCCATTGGGGTGTGCGGGGAGCAGCAGTGTCGCGGTTAGCGTGCCGCGCTACGAACCCGGCAACTCGAGTTCGATTCCCGTTCACGGCCAACGCCAGTGACGATTATCCGAACCAGTCCTGGGTCTCCCCTAGGGTCGACAGCCTCAAGTGAATACCTGGTGTGGTGTGTAAACGTTGCCACTGGGGAGACAAAGATGGTCGAGCATGATTATGTATGTTTAACTTCTTTCGCATTATATGTAGCCAACCGTGCTAATCGGAGGTGCGGGGGAGGGACCGCAAATTTAACGCAAAAAGCAGTTCTAAAGAAATGAGTTTTCAATCCTAGGTTTAAAAGTGGCTTCATAATATCCAAAGGAAAAGCATTAACGATGGCTTCAGGAGCGCCTCTGAAAGCGCACGATGCGGCGACCGTCTTTGTTCGATGGCTCGCCAAAAACCGCTGCTGTGAGGATGACTGGAGGTTAGCGCGATTGTTTATGCTCCTTGCCGAGATCAGGAAGGTATTGTGGTTTATTGGTGGCCAAGCACTTTGTGTGTACTGAGTGCAACCTTATTATAATGCATTATAATGTCGCACCCACCACCACGTGTACCGTGCCGGCAAAGGTAGGGTGCTCGCCTATAACAGCACTTGCCCCAAAAAGTCTGTCAAGGCCATGAGGTGGTGGGGGTTTTTTGTCACCGTGCGACTGGAATGCAGGTGTTCGATTTGCTGAATAAGCGTGCGGCCCTGCGAGTACTGGAAGATAGCAAGCAGCAAGTGCAGGTGGTGGGGCTTAGCGAGTGCCCCGTCTCCTCCAGCGAAGAGGTGCTCGCCCTCATTGAGACTGGGAGCAAGTGCAGGTCAGCACGCACGCACATGTGTAGTATCTTGAAGGAGACGGAGACTTCCTTTAGAGGCCACACGCTTTTATTTCAATAACAGCTAGACATCCTGACGCACTGGGGAAATAGCCTGACCACACAACCTAGGGAGGTACAGCCTCCACTCTATTCCAACTACTCTCCTTCCCTAGCCTACGGCTACTCAGCCCGGGGACGCTTGACGCCACCCTCAGCCCACTCAGTCCCGGCGGGGCAGCATCCTCGGGCTTGGGGTACAGGATCTCCGGCGGCACCTCCTTCAGCTTTAGATGAGATGGACTGGCTCCCGCTCTCCGGGAGCCGTCTTATATATCCCCTCTCTGAGGGGCGGGGGTGTCTTGGGGCCCCGGCTCTCGCCGGCCCCCTCCCCTCAGAGCGGTTCCAACCGCCTCTCGGCCCGACCGGTCCGGACCAGTCCTGACCGGTACGTACCCCTCCCCTAGATTGTGTAACCTGTGTCAACCTTGACCACCACACATGTATAAAACAAAAATTCGGTAATAATAATACTACTTTCATATTCTTGGTTCTTTCGGTAAAGTCACGTAGAAGGGAAATAATAAAATAATATAAATAAAGAACGAGAAAATGTTCTTGCTGTGGATTTCACACCTGATGATGATTGCTTGTGTTGCAGTCGAAACGTCGTGAGAATTTTTTTTATTGTTTTATATAAATATTATTTTATTATTTCCCTTCTACGTGACTTTACCGAAAGAACCAAGAATATGAATCTCTGCAGTCACGAAAGCTTTAAATAAAAAAAATTATACTTTAATTTAATTAATTTGTATCCAATTGTTTGAATCTTTGTTTTGTATTATTATCTTTTGTATTGTGAAAAGTGATATAGGTATGAATTTTTTAGGTTAGGAGTAGAGTTGGAATGACTGTCCTGAAACGCATCCATAAAAAAACATTCTGATTTACAACATTTTGCTTTACGCCGTAAAGCAAGGAATACCTGCACATCCGTATAAATACGCGTGTACACAACTTAACCCTTTCCCGTTCCGCACATGGACATCGTAAGTTTTGCTTCCGATTGAGTTCTGATGACGTACGTGTACATCATCAAAACTAAAATAAAGTAACTTAATCGTTACCGAGGCTGCCACAAGGCCATGCGGGGGAGGGCGTGTGGCACAGTCTGGCACCAGCTATCATAGAGTGTGGTGGTCGTGTCGCTACAGTTCTCTCCGGCGAGTACGAGCCGCTCGTGCGTTTCGAGATTCGGCAGTGAATGGGCCCCACCCTGCAACTTGCAGGCGGTTTTGGAATGGGAAAGGGTCACCATAGCGCACAGACCTCTAGGTTTGCTAATGCGGGCGGAACCCGTGTGACACGCGCACAGGACGTCAGGCCAGACATCGGCCAACGCGACGTCGTCGCGCTCGCACGCCATCTTCCAGCTGATACTGAGGCGCGGCGAGCTTCTGCACGGCAAGTTCTCGCTCGTGGACCTCGCCGGTAGCGAGCGCGGCGCCGACACGGGCAACTCCGACCTGCAAATGTGCCGTGAGGGCGCCGAGATCAACAAGAGCCTGCTGGCGCTGAAGGTTTGTATTGAATTGTTTTGCCCAGCAAACCCTCGCTGAGTCTCGTGACTTGCTTCCAGGACAGTACTGCCAAGTGTTCTTTTTGCAGTCCCCCCCCCACATACTGATGATTGTTATTCATAATCTAGGGGGTAACCTGCGGCTACGGAGTGGCATGCGGTTCTTTTAAGGACTGCTTCGTGATATTGTTTATTCGGCAGTGTCTTGTATTCGCATGCAATTCAAGCTCTTGAAATATTTAGGTTTCTTTACGAATTCGAAAAAAAATGCCACTTGTTAATTTGGTCGCCGGTCCCCCGGTGTAATCCCAGTTGAGTTATTTGCGGGTACGTTTGCAAATTTAGCAAATGTGGACCACAATGGGCCTGCTCGTGCACATGACGTCGCCGGATCTTTAACGTCCGCTGCGAAGCAGACTGCTTGTATTTTTACGATTCATACACCTGCGGTATTAAGCAGGGCGGCCGCTACATTCGAACTGTCAACAGCTGCAGCAAACGCCATACCGCTTGGCCATCTCTCCACCAGTGCGGTGCAGAGACCTGGGGACCAATTGCAGCGCCATCCCTTAGGGGTACGGCGAATCGGGATGACCGTCCCGTGCCCAGCGCTTTGGGGGGTGGGGGGCCACGTACTTGTGACATCACAGTGTCGGATGTGATAATTTAGTTTTAAGGCCTTGGGCGGCCCCACGCGGTGTGATATTTACCCTGGGCCCCGCACCCCACTATGGACGGGCCCTCCTCAAACGTAACTACAACTGTAGCAGCACCAGAGGTCGCAACCGGGTACCCGATACCCGTACCCTACCCTATACCCGGCTACCCGTACCCAGCTGGGTACGGGTACGGGTAGCCGTTTGCGACCCTGGTGCGGCCGGGTACGGGTAGGCCGTGAGTCACTGGTGAGTAACCATTTGTCACTCATTTCGGGTAGGGTACGGGTAGGGTACGGGTAGGGAACGGGTAGGGAACGGGTAGGGAACGGGTAGGGAACGGGTAGGGAACGGGTAGGGAACGGGTAGGGAACGGGTACCCGGCCGGGTACGGGTACCCGGGTACGGGTACCCATTTGCGACCCTGGTGCGGCCGGGTACGGGTACGGGTAAGGAATCAAAACCCGTTTGCGACCTCTGAGCAGCGCCATTGGCTAGAGTACGATTTTCGCTCCAATGTCACACTCAGTCTATGGCTTAATCGCCCAGAATGCACTTGATATCAGATGTTGGAAGCCAATCCGGTTTGAGCCTGGACAATGTTGGGATGGGTGACCAAAATGTATAAAATAGGTGTCGTTGGGTTTTTGAGAGGCCACATCATGGGTATCGGGGGGGGGGGGGGGGGGGGGGGGACGGCGCAGCAAAGTCCATTGTTGCGCTGTACCTCCTAGGCTCTCGCATCTATGCTCCACACATTCGCCTACCTGAATTCGCCAGCGTGGTGCAGTATGGTCAAATTGTGGTATTGTCTTAAGGAAGCCCTACATTGTGCAGGGCTGCTAACTGCATCCTATAATCTCCACGGAAATAAATGGTAATCCTGGAAATGATTTCTAGGCTATCCGTCCCGTTGATTGACAGGTACATTATTACATCTTTATTGCTTTGAATCCATGTTAATTTCAACGTAAGTTGTCATCTATCATATGAACGGGACAGATTGTCAAGGGTCCTTGCCCATGGCTGTTAACCCTGTTACTGCATGACCTTGTTTAAAGGGGGGGTGGAGGGGGCGGGCATACACAATGTAAGAGGGGTACGACACGGATAATGTTAAACATACTTTTTAACAAACAGTAAACGCTAAACAGAATGAGTAATTATACGATCTGCTCAAGCTCTTCAAACTTGCAATGCATGTGAACAAAGACTAATGCCAATTGTTTTATTGTACCAAAATATTGAGAATGGCGGGGGCTTGGAATGCCCCCCTATCTGACACTACGGGCCTGTTGGCTGTGCTTCGTTTCCATGAGGACGCGCACGTGTGTGTGTGTGCGTGAGGGTGCTAAACGGGTACGGCACGGGCTCGACAAGAGATGGAATGATGTGGTATGAGAGGATATGGGGATGAGTGGACTTGCCAATGACTGGTAGCAGTGGTGTCAAGATTAGCTTCTGTGGAAGAGGCTCGTGAAGGACGCTGCTACTGGGCAGTTGGGGGCAGACGTCCTCTAGCAACAACGGAAGGCAGAGGAGCGACGCTCACAACAACGAGCATAGCGCCGGACGGTTAAAATGCAGCAGGTTGGCACAGTCGTAGAGCACAGGTGGTGCATCGGCCAGTCATCTCAGTTAGTCAAACCATGGCACCTGGGTTTGTCCCGTGACCTCCTGCCAGCAGGCGTTCGACACTTCACGTGGCCCTAAAAGTGCGCACAGTCTGGCACAAGTGCCGTGGTGACGTCACTGCCACTTCGTGGCGTATGGCGGCGGCGTTTGTTTTTGTTGTACATGCGTGTGCTGCGCGCGTTCACGTGTCGACGTGCACATGTGTAGGAGTGCATCCGAGCGCTGGGCCAGAACAAGGCACACACGCCATTCCGCGGCAGCAAACTCACCCAGGTGCTGAGGGACTCGTTCATCGGGGAGAACTCCCGCACCTGCATGGTACGTGTGTGTGTGTGTGCATGTTTTAGCATATGTGGGGAGCGGTAGTGCAATGGTTAGCGCGCTGCGCAACTAACCCAGCAACCCGAGTACGATTCCTGCTCACGGCCAACACCGTTGACGATTATCTAAACTGGTCCTGGGCCTGCCCTAGGTTGACTCGGGCCCCGCGGTGGCAAGATGTTAACTCTCTCGCCTGGTGTGCAGGAGGTCGTGAGTTCGATCCCGACCCCGACGCCTGTTGTATATTTGGAGTTTGCACGTCTCTCCCTGTGGTTGCGTGGATTTTTCTTCGGGTTGTCAAGTTTTTCTGTCCACGACATGATAAGCCATTTCGTTGAGTTTGTGGGCTTCTGTAAAAGAGCTATATAGCTCAGACGGGCTTACCTGGTAAATAAATAAGAAACCATTAGTCAATGAGTTTTAGCGAGCACCTAATGAAGGCCGGCACGGCACAGGAGGGAATGGGGTTGCCAGCACCACGCCTGGCTGCCTTTGTCTCCCTAGTGGCAATGTTTCCAAACTGCTCCAGGTACGAATTTGAGGCCGAGTCGACCTAGGTGAGGCCCAGAACCAGTTTAGATAATTGTCACTGATGTTGGCCGTGAGCGAGGAATCGAACTCTAGTGGCTGGGTTCACAGCGCAGCGCGCTAACCGGCACACTACCGCCTTGTGCACATAGAAACACACTCACTGCCCGCTTCTCTCGCTGTGCTCGCGTGTGGATGCTGCAGATCGCCATGATTTCTCCTGCGATGAGCTCCTGTGACCACACGAACAACACGCTGCGATACGCAGACAGGTGAGGCAAATCACCGGGGGAAGGGGTGTGTGAATTGTAGTGCCGAGTGTGGTGTAGCTGGGGCGCACGTGTGGTTTGTGACCACCTATTGAAGGCTGGGACCGGCACATGAAGGCGGTGGGTGGCTAGCACCACACCTCGCCGCCTTTCTCTCCCAAGTGGCAACGTTTACACGCCGCACCGGGTACTCATTTGAGGCTGAGTCGACCTAGGGGGGAGGCCCAGAATTGGTTAAAATATTTGCCACCATTATTGGTCGTGAGAGGGAATCAAACTCAGGTTGCCGAGTTTGTAGCACTGCACTGCCACAAAGATCCCCCATAAGGTTATGGAGACAAAGACAAAGATCCCCCATATAGCCCTGTCAGACGGTAGGGACAAGTGCTGTTAGCAAGCGCCTATGAAAACCGGCATGGCAGGGTGGCCAGCACTGCCCGGCTGCCTTTGTCTCCCTCGTGGCGATATTTACGCATCGCACCAGGTACTCATTTGAGGCTGAGTCGACCTAGGGGGAGGCCCAGGACCGGTTTGAGATAATCGTAACTGGTGTTGGTGGCCGTGAGCGGGACTCCAACTCGGTTCTCCAAGTTCGTAGCGCAGCGCGCTAAACACCACACTACCTCTCGCCATAAGGTTATGCACATACACACATAAGGTTATGCACATACACACACACGTACACGTGTACATTTGTAGCGAGTATAACCGAGTCGCAGACGTTGTCTTGGGAGCAACACGTTTATTAACTATTTACACAACATACTCCAGGGCTATTAACACAACACAGCCACGGGTGGTGACCACCCAACTAACCACGCTAGGGCGGAACTAGACACGGTCCCACTATGCCGGTCCCAACCACAAGCTGGGTCCCGGACCGCGTGGCTAGAGGCTTCTTCAAGCTTGACGTGGATCTCCTGCCTCTCCAACAGTAAGAACCCCGGGCCGGGCTGGGGCTGGCTCCGCCTCTCGCCCCGCCCACCTTCTCGATCTCTCTCGCCCCCTTGCCCGAAGGCTCTCGAGAGTTCTTTCCAGACCATGTGACCACCCATTGGCCCCCTCCACCGGTGGCCCCCCTCCAGTATGATCCGGTCACATGTCCCCAGGTCAGCCAGAGTATCATGCCTCCAACGTAGCCCCAGCTGGCTGACGCTCTCTCTCAACGGGAGCCCGTGCCGTACGCTGTGCGTGGTGCCACCGCGCTTAACCAGCGCTCACCCAAGCCCCCACTAGGGCTGGTACTACACCCCGTTTCCGGGGTTTACACACAACAGTAGACATCCCACCGTGACCCTCGCAGGCCCCGGCACCACACAGTGACCTTCCCAGTCACTACACATACACACGCCACACAAATCCTAGGGGTGGAATGAGTCATCGGTATTGGGAGGGCTGCTGTGTCAAGGCGGTCTGCACTTCGTTCTCGTCTGTGTTGCCCGCACGCAGGGTGAAGGAGCTGGGGGTGGAGCAGGGCGGGGAGGAGCGACAATCGGCACCGCTCGCTTCCACCACTGCCGCCACCGCCGTGGCAGAGCCTGAACCGGAGGACGACGTCAATATGGACGAGGCGGGGGAAAAGGAGGCCCCTCAGCCACGTCATCGACGGCTGCCCTCTCTCATCCTGGCGAGTGGTTGATTGAGCATCCCCCGGGCAGAGGGGATGGCATGTGACAGTCGCGAAACATTGACGGATAAACATTAACATTGACAATCGCTCGCTGACGATTAGAAAATAACATTGACACTCATTGACAAATACACATTAACAATTCTTCATTCAGGAAAAGACAAAAACATTGACATGATATTATTAATCAATTAAACGAAACAACAAAATGACAAACGAAATCGAACCACTAACCAGGCACCTATTAATGAAACTACTACACAATTGAACATCTAAGCGACAGCACCTAACGAGGCATTTAAACATTGTGCATGTTTTGTAAATTGTCATCGGCAGAAAATAATAAAAGGAAGTCCATGAGCCTGAACGTGAGCAGGGAGCTGACAGCATGGGTGGCTGGGGGGAAGGGAGTCCCAGAATATGGGGGTAACAGAGGAGAGTGAGCGACCTCCCCTAGAGCGAATGTTGACTGGGGGCTTCCGGCGAATGCCAAGGCTACTTGAAGCAGAAACTGTGTGGAGCTGAAGTAGCGTGAGACGAGAGGGGAGAGGTAGGAGAGTGTACGGAGGGGAGTAGAGCGAGGGGAGAAGTATCAGAGTGGGAAGTCGTGATGCGAGAGGTACTTCAGTTCTCCAAAACGTGCGCGCTCCCCGACCTTCACTCGGCACTTGCCTGCACGGTGAAGTATGGTCATATAACCCCCACGACATGCACGGTGTGGGGGATTCATCTCCTTGGTTCTTTCGGTAAAGTCACGTAGAAGGGAAATAATAAAATAATAATAAAACATAATAAAATACAATTCTCACGACGTTTCGGCCACAACGCAAGCAGCCGTCCTCAGGTGAAGAACAGGTCTGTCGGAAAGACAGCGACAGAATGAACACCACCAAGCTTGGCAGCGTCTATTTAAGCTGGGTTAGAGGAGGAGAGCGCCTTGACAAAGGAATTTGCATATCAACAGATACATTTTGCATATTTATGGAAAATGCAGAGATGGGATTAGTCACTACTTGTGGAATGTGTAGGTGGTGGGGGGGGGGGGTCTCAAAGTCATATTATGCTCGTGTATTATGTAGGATTAGCAGTAATATAGGGAGGAAGTAGGATTAGCAGTAATAAAGGGAGGAAGTAGGATTAGCAGTAATAAAGGGAGGGATAGTTTTAATAGTAAGGAGAGCTGCAGCAGCCATCCAGCAGTGGATTGACAAAAGGGGCTGCACACGAGCATGTACAATCCTTCTGTTTGCCATCAACTGTCCCGGTCCTTAGAACCTGATGGGCTTATTTACCAGCGTGTGCGTTCCCCCTTGTGCTGCATTGGTCGTGCGTGCGTGCGTACGCAGGAGGAGGAGATGCCACTGGAGCTGCCCTCCGAAGAGTCTCTTCTCCAGCCGTTCAAGAATAAGATCATGAGCAGCACCAGACGAACTTGCAGGTGCGTTGGCCTGCTTCAGCGGCCGGCTTGCACTCTCCCGTTGCCGTGACGCGGGGTCCATGTTTTGCGTGCTTTCGACGCACTTGTGTCGTCCGAAAACGATTTAGCACCACCTCAGTGTGGGCTCCAGCAATGGTTTTGTTTTTGTAAAGCGTTTCTGACCCTACGTTATCTATTTGTTACGCTTGTTTACCAAAGTGAGCCTTACGCACGCCTGAAGTCGAGAACTGTGGAGGCAAGGTAGACCACACAGGTGTTTCAAAACTCCCTTCCTTCTAGATTTGAAGCTTTTGTGACTGCAAGATCATACTCTTAGGTTTTTTCGGTAAAGTCACGTAGGTAAAAATAATAAAAATTATAGAAATAATAATAGAAATAAAAGAATAAATCACGACGTTTCGGAGGCAACACAAGCTTCCTTCATCAGGTGTAAAAAGGCACAGCTAAATAACTGTAGTGGGAGTTGTTTGTGATGGGCATTAATATATAGGGTAAGAGGAAGGGGGAGGAGCCAAGCTGGCTCCACCCACACCCCCCATCCTGCACCCGTCCCCCTTGGCTCCTCCCCCCTCCTCTTACCCTATATATTAATGCCCCATCACAAATAACTCCCACTACAGTTATTTTGCTGTGCCTTTTTAAATCCTTTATATTAAGTTCACTTGCTTGCTTGCTTGCTTACGACCGTGCAAATCTTTGGGTCGTTTTTTAACCCACTTCCCGTGATCCAATCGAGCTGACATTTTGCACGCAGACCTGTTGTGCGTGACAAATTTCCAAAATGTTACACTTTTTAGGAAAAAATCAATTAAATATTTAATTACCAATTGCTTAATGGTGGCAGCCATTCATCTGACCCATAGGTGGCAGCCATCTCAAGCCAGAGGACGAGAGGACTCTAGCCGCCACGCATATAAAGGATTTATAGTGAAAAACTTTGTTTTTACGGGTTAATTTTTTACACCTGATGAAGGAAGCTTGTGTTGCCTCCGAAACGTCGTGATTTATTATTTTATTTCTATTATTATTTCTAATTTTTACCTACGTGACTTTACCGAAAAAACCTAAGAGTAAAACTCCCTTCCTGTTGTCCGTTGAGTTGCTATAACCTGGCTGGCTGGCACGAGATGGTACATAAAGTGTGGACTAATCTCTCATCCGTTCCATCTGCATGGGATAGTATTGCCTCTCCCTTTGCCCGTACAGGTCTTTACCGGGCACTCGGGTTTCCTCTCGCTCGTATCAACACCTCTAGACTGGAAACGTCTTAAAACATACACACCTGAGTGTTTTTAATCTCGTTCGAAATCTCAATTCTTTAGAACTGTCTTCTTGGTTCTTTCGGTAAAGTCACGTAGAAGGGAAATAATAAAATAAAAAAAATACAACATAATAAAATAATTCTCACGACGTTTCGGCCACAACGCAAGCAGCCATCCTCAGGTGAAGAACAGGTCTGTCCTAAAGGAGTTTTGAAACATGTTTTATTTATTATTATTTTATTATTTCCCTTTTACGTGGCTTTACCGAAAGAACCAAAAAGATGAATCCCTGCAGTCACGAAAGCTTTAAATCGATCTTGAGAACTGCTTTTTGTGGTTTGTTGTCCTTCCCCCGCACCTCCGATTCGCACAGTTGGCTACGGTAAGTGCGAAAGAAGTTCCGCATACATTGCCCGTTCGTGCGGCGTAGCGAGATGCAGCTTGCCTGAAATGATGCTCCCTCAAAACCTCAACGCGCCTTGCTAACGTTGCCGTTGCTGCGTGCGACAGAAGTTCCTGGTGCAGCTGTCGCAGGAGAACCAGCTCAATAACCTTTGGAGCCAGGGGGAGTGCAGCACGTTAGACTATGTGGAGCAAGTCTGCAGCATCATCGATGACCGCTCTGCAAGAGATGCCGCTTTACGGGGTACGTGCGCACACGCTGGTTTTTTCTGTTCGTTGATTGTGCCTCTAGACACTCGCGAATGTTGGACAATTTACGTGCGTACGTATGTTGAATTTATTTCGCACCGTACTCAGCCAACCGTGCTAATCGGAGGTGCGGAGAAATTATGATAGGATTTAACTTTTCAAACGTGTAATGCATAGTTTTGTGGTAACAATGTGTTGCGCAAGTATAACATCGGTACAAATAAACGAGCATATGGCAACATAGTACTGTCAACAGTTGACATTTAGAGAAAATGTTTTTACGGCCGAATATATTTAAAAAATACTTTTATTTAACTCTTAAACTTTTCACTTTACCAGGTAAGGCCCACTGAGCTACGTAGCTCTTTTCAGAAGCTACCTGGCCACATAAAATGATAGCTCAACGAAGTGGCTTATCGTGTGGAAATGCATTGCAGCCAAATACTCTAAACGCACGTTTCTAAATGTGGGCGTGGAAAAACTTGACAACGTGGAGAAAAATCCACGCAACCGCAGGGAGAGACGTGCAAACTCCAAATATACAACAGGCATCAGGGTCGGGATTGAACCCACGACCTCCTGTACACCAGGCAGGGTAGTTAACATCTCGCCGCCTTGGCGTATAAATTGCATGTAGTGTTCTTATTAAAAATAAACAATTTGTGGGTTCAGGACTCTATGCAAGGCACAGCTCCGAGCACAGTCTAGCATCTGTCACAACAACGCACTGTGAAATAGCATCGCACGTTTCAAACAGTCTAGCATCTATGACATGGTTATGAAATATCATTCATCGCACAATGTTACGCTGTGAATTAAATGCAGAATGCTGTCAACCATTGGCAGTGCGAGTTAAAACCGAATTTTAAAGCAAGGTAGATTTAATACCATTTTTTTATTGCCAATTTATTGTAACAGTAACCTTTCGCGGTGAGTTCTTATGTTGAAATGTTCCAGTAAATATCAATCTAGAGTGCTGCTGCTCCCCTTACTTACGGGAACTATTCCCAAAGGTGGAATCGTGCTGTGTGTTTAAACCCTTGTGTTGGGACCGCAACAATCCTGCTTCCATAGTGCTGGCTTGCAGGCATGCAGGCATGCACCGGTGTAAGAATTTGCAAAGCCTTGCCAATAATAAAATAAAAAAGCTATTTGCGTATTGCTGGGCCTGAAGCGCAGGATGCGAAGTTTTCCGTACATACGCATGTGTGTATGTTGAACTTCTTTCGCACCGTACGTAGCCAGCCATGCTCACCGGAGGTGTGGGGAGAAGGCCAATAAACTGAACACAAAAAGCAGCTCTAAAGAAATTAGTTTTCAATACAGATTTAAAACACGATAACTGTATGTTGGTAAGTTTATTGCTACGTGTACCCATTACCGTTCTTGTGCGTTTCGCAGAGATGCTTCAAGAGCTCATTGAGATGGAGCCTACCGACGCAAAGGTGATGAACGGGCAGGCAACCCGCGGCTGTGCGAGGGGACAGCCCCATCCAGCCCTTACCGCCCACAACTCCCTCCGCACTAAACGCTGAGCGCTGCACTGCCACACTGGCGTCATCCATGACTCGCCACGCGACGACCGACACCATCCACTCCTCCACCACCACCACCGAAGCCGGCCCGAGTTTAGCCCGTTTTCGCTATGAACTCGGCGGCCTGAGTTCGATTCCCACGTACGGCCAACACCAGTGACGATTGTATCTGAACCGGGTCCTGGGCCTCCCCTAGGCCGGCTCCCCTAGGCCGGCTCGGCCTAGCGGAGGCCGGCCTTTATAGGTGCTAACAGCACTTGCCCCAACAAGTCTGTTAAGGCTACACAGGGGATCTTTGTTGTTCGAGGTAGTTGAATACATATTGTGCTTTCGATGGCTCGTTGTGCGAGTTGCCATTGTTGGTCATTGGACCTTGTTTGATGTCACTCGCAATCGCACATGTTGCCATGTAACTGTCCTTAAATCGCTTGGTTATACAGATCGGCCACCCTATGTCTTTAGTAAATTAATTTCATGTTTCGGTTTTGAGTCCCGGCACTGGATGGAATCCCCCGGCACCTCCGACTTAGCACGCTTGGCTACGTATGATGCAAAAGAAGTTCAACATATATACAATTGCGATAAATTGGAGAGTTTTGGTGACCAACTATGAAAACAAGGTTGAATGTGAGTACTTAAACACTGCTTTATGTATGTCCATAAAACCTACGTGTTTGTGTGCCTCTGCTATCGTGTGCGTATTATACTGTGTATATATATATTTATGAATGCATACTCTATTGCGTACGTATACATTTGTTAGTGTGTATTAATTTGCGTTGTGTTGGTATGTGTATGCATGTACTGTACATATTGAATTACTCGCGTGACGTTTGTGTGCGTGCATTTATCGAGTTATGTTTTTTGTTTGCATTATGACTGCAGGTATTGTGGTCTATGCAAACATGACTCCTTGTAAAAAAGGTGTCAGTTTTGTTGCCAGATTAAAGGGTAAAAAACCAATTATCATATTTTTTACTGGCAAATGAGGTACCAATGGTATTATATTTGTTGCGAAGTGTTGGACGACTCGGATGCAGGTTTCCAAGTAAAGGGCTTGCGCGGGTGCTTTATTAAGGGCTTCTGCCGATTTAACTCTTAAGATACAACCACTTCCCAGGGGTAGGGGTAGAATAGGCTTGGGTCCTACCCTCGGACCCTCCACCCTGTCAGTTCCCTCGCACAGCTGGCTGCCCGGGGTGCCTCCTCTGCCCCAGCAAGGGTTTATCATCCAAACTCAGCCGTTTGCGACCCTGGTGCGGCCGGGTACGGGCACAGGTAGGCCGTAAGTCACTGGTGAGTCGCCGTTTGTCACTAATTTCGGGTAGGGTACGGGTAGGGAACGTGTACCCGTACCCGGCCGGGTACGGGTACCCATTTGCGACCCTGGTGCGGCCGGGTACGGGTAAGGAATCAAAACCCGTTTGCGACCTCTGAGGAGCGCAGGTGCTCCTCGTTCCTATGCTGGCCTCACTCTCCAGACTTCCCCACCTTACCCCTGGTCCTAACTCCCACCCTTCTCGTTCCCTTACTCCTAGCAACGGACCCCGCTTGCGTCACGGGACATGACGTCATCCTGCTGACCAGCGCTCATGACGCCACTTCCCGTGACGTCACCGCCCCAGCCAGCGAGCGTGACGCCGTTTCCCCCGGACTATTCCTCTACATGTTTACTAATTTGTGCATTGTATGTGTTTTGTGTGTGTGTCTTCAGCCCTGATCTGTCCGCTGCTGGACGAAGGCCTTCCCAAGTTGCTGTGATCTCTCCCGGTTCTGCAAATGCAGCGACCGACTGCGCGCGCGCGCCTGCGCACGGGGCTGATTTCGTCGCCCTGTCTCCGTTCCGTACAGGATCTCCCCCGGTGTTTTCTCTACCTTCACTGCCATCCTCTCATTATTCTTGCCTATGTACGCCCGTATATCGAGCGAAGTGTCTCCTCTCCAAGGGAAATTGCCTGGTCAAAAAGCCCGCTGACCTGAACCGTTTATATGATGTTTCTATAACCCTGCCTGTGCTTTCTGTGAGAAAAACTAAATTTTCTCAAGACAAACGCTTTTGTGAAAGTGTGAGAAAGTCCACGTATGTGCATGGTTTTTCGTCCTTGTTTTTGCAGCATTTACTAATTGCATTTCTTCTCTCGTCAATTTTTGTTCTAAGTTTAAGAATAATTTCTCTCTGTAACCTGTCTTTTCCATTTTGGATGTGTGAATGTGAGGAATTCTGATTTCTTCATTCAAATATTTGCATTACTTTGGCACCAATGTTTCTCCCAAAGTGATATTTTTACTTGCCTTAAATGTTGATTTTGTAGCTGAATTTCTGAATGACGGGTTGCATTAATATCGTGGTGCAAGGAGACTCAGACTATAAATTTACAACTTGGACATGGTTATATCTGAAGGGAAAACAGGGACGGCATTTTTATTTCAATTCAGACCAAATGCATTTATCTACTTGCATTTTCTGCATCTTAATTTCTATCTTTTTTATGTTTACTATTGCATTGGCAGTGATGTGCATATAACAACTCAACACGAATCGTCATTAACACTGCCCTAAAGAAATATCTCAGCGATCGAAAAGGGCCGTTCCCCAAAAAGGGGGTCAACCATGATTATCACAGCCATTCTCATCTTAACCTGATTTTGTGTTCAACGTTTCTCACTTCCATCGATCAACTTCCAGATTCTGCCGAGCCAGTTTCCAAATTCTCACGACCAGTGAATTCGCCCAGTTGTTTTAAACCAAAGGAACACATTTAAGCACACTAATGCATTTACCAGCATAAAAAAATCACTTATGTAAAAGCATAACCTTATTGTTTATGCCGGAGTTGTTCAAAACAACCCCTAATTGGGTCTGCGAGAAAACCTGACATTGTTGCAATTGCCTGGGTAATGCAACTTCTGCATCCACCCCCTCCCCATAGGCTCAGGCACATGACACTACATAGGACGTTGGGAATCCCAGCGGTGGTATTCATTGTTGTACATAGTTTGTGATCGTTGTCCGTTTGTGTGTTTGTCGGCATGCCCCTCCTAACAGTGGTCTCATGTCACTAGCATCTCATCTTCTGCTGCTGCAACAGCAGAAGTGTACATGTTTTAAAAAAAACGATTGTTCCATAGGACTGACTTTTTTCATCCGTGGCAGCAGTATGTATTTTTAGTCTGAAGTATATTTGATGACTGTGTTTTTTCGAATAAATAATTTTGAGCTAAGTAAATGCACTGCAAAGTTGTCATAAGTAACCAGAACTTTTCTTGGTCAGATACAGGCAGTGGCACACAATGGAAGACCCATATTTGTGTTTAACATAGCCGGTTTTACCTACCTTAAGACCAGGCGTGACTTAATCGTACTAGTCGTGCTGAACATTAATATTTAGCAGGTTCCCTAATGCGCATCCTCTATTGAGGTTTCACTTTCCAAACCGTTCAAGGATTTGCAAAACGGGTCTTCGGCTGGTAGTCCCAATGGCGGGCATGTGCTTAGAAAATTCTATGGACCATCTCTGTTACAATGGACAGAATTCATTGTTGTTTTTTCTCCAAGAATAGTTGGTACAACGATTTTACCCGTGGTGCTTCCACCCGTACCGATGCTCATTTGCCCGTTTTTTTCCCCCCTCGCCAAATTCAACGTTCTTGTCTTCTTTCATAGAAGCCAAATTTCAGTCACCAACCAGTAGTGTTTTTCCTTCCTTGGACGAACTAATGCTGACCCCTTCACGAACCCCTCTTTCTTTCACATCGGGGCCAATAAAATGTATGTGTGGTGTGTCATGAAGCTCGGTTGTAAGGCCTTACTAAAATATTAAATAAAGAATATTTTAATGTGGAGACATGATCATAATATGCTGTTACCCAAAAATTGTTCGCAGCAACGCGTGAGTTTACGTATCGTTTAGATTTTTTGCATTGAACGGGGTCCCATATTTTATTTGGAATGCTCGTAGCCAATAACATCCGGTAATTCAGCAGCATTTGTTTAAACCAGCCTGACTGCTGATGAGGTCCAAAATATTTAAACTTGTCCAGTTTGCTTGCTTTTTAACATAATGCTGCTTGATCATATTTTTCTGGATAACCAATAGGCTGATCGACTAAAACGCGTTTAATTTGTGAACACAGAATTGACTTTATCCTGCTGCTTTTATCCACAATGCTCCATGGAAATGCATAATGAGTTTATATAAAATACTATTAAAACTTCCACCTTGACCCGTGTGCAATGGTCATACTTGTTACTCGCCTATAACACGTGTTTTAAACTTGTCGTTCATCGGTGGCAAAACTGATTTGCGAGCCCTGTGCAGCTCGATGGAGGCTCTTTGTCTAATGTTTAACTTTTCAACACGATGCACCTTTTATTTGAAGCGGGGAAAACAACATCTGAAGTAAGTGGAAGCGACCTGAAGGTCTGGGCCACACACGTTGCAGCTGTATACGGCTTCTCGCCCGTGTGCTTGTGCAGGTGTGTGTGTGTGTGTCTTGAGGTCACACGGCTGCCTGACTAAGACTGGAAACAGGAAGACTTATTCACAATTTGGGCAAATCGCCTGATGAAGCTGGTTGTAATCGCCATTGAAACGTCGTACTGAAATTGTGAATGTCAGTTTACAATTTCTGAAGTAACTAATTGGCACATTTTGTGTATTAACGTCTTAATTGGCTGTGGTGGTGATGGTGGGTTAACAGCACTTATATTTGCGTGATCTAACCCCAAAAAAACTTTTAAGAATATTTATCGTGAAAACCTACGTATTAAACAGATTCTATCGGGTTTTTTTTTTAATCGGTCAATGTTGTATCGGGTTGTGGCCAGAATGAGTAATGCTCCAGCCCTTTGGCTGTGCAGACACGAGATGCACATTTTGCACGTGGAGCAGTTTCCTACCCGTGTACAACCGAAAATAATTCGGGTCGTCGTGGAGAATATAAAATATCAAAATAAATAAGCGCACCATATGCCCCCATTCGCATATCCGTATCAAATATATTTTTTAAAATATTTCTTACGCATCGGATTCACGGCCTTAAATCCGGAAAGTGCATAATTTCGGCAGCATTTTCTTGGTTCTTTCGGTAAAGTCACGTAGAAGGGAAATAATAAAATAATAAAAATACAATTCTCACGACGTTTCGGCCACAACGCAAGCAGCCGTCCTCGGGTGAAGAACAGGTCTGTCGGAAAGACAGCGTCTGAATGAGCACCACCAAGCTTGGCAGCGTATATTTAAGCTAGGTTAAAGGAGGAAGGGCGCCTTGACAAAGGAATTTGCATATCACTCTTCACCTGAGGACGGCTACTTGCGTTGTGGCCGAAACGTCGTGAGAATTGTATTTTATGTTTTATTATTTTATTACTTCCCTTCTACGTGACTTTACCGAAACAACCAACAAGATGAATCCCTGCAGTCACGAAAGCTTTAAATCGAAATTTCGGCAGCATTGTTAGAGCTCGCCAGTGCAGCACAGCAACATCAACTGTTGAACTGAACTTCTATGCGTCCTTCGACTTCACCCACCCACAACGACGAGCGAGCGTGGCGATGATGTGCGGCTGCGTGGCGAACCCTTTCATCCAGCCGTGGATTAACAAGTTGGCTGTACGTACACGTGAGTTCACCGGTGCGCTACGAACACGCGCACAAGGGCCGTCCATAAATGACGTCACGCGATTTTGGACGATTTTTGCCCCCCTCCCCTTTTCGTCACGGCGTCACAAAAAGTCAGACCCCCCCCCCCGAAATGACGTCACAAAGCTCTGCCCTCTCCCCCCCCCGAAAAATAAAGCATGCTTCAAATCGCTTTAAACTATTGTTATTGTAGTGCGTATTTAATGCTGCACAGATGTTGTAGAAGAAAACATTTATTACAAAGTCTATTACTGGTAGGAACGAAGTGAACCAGCCTACAACAGATTATATCGTCCGTCCGCCCGTGTAGCAACATCGCCCCCTACTGCAAACACTTGGCAGGACCCTACAAAAACCTTTAGACTCAGTGACGCTTTCGTGGCTAAACAAGTGTAACATTCCCTTATAATTCCCTGCGATAGCTTTTAATTAAAACATTTACATTAAAAAATTAACTCACAGCGGCCTAAAGCGTACAGCTAGGCCTAAAGCCTAGAATTAGGCCTCAAACTCTCCCTTCGTATCGTCCGATTTGGTGTAGCAACATCGTCCCCTACTGCAAACACTTGGCAGGACCCTACAAAAACCTTTAGACTCAGTGGGGCTTTCCTGGCTAAACAAGTGTAATAATACATTATGTTTATATTCTTTGGTTATTCGTTCCTACCAGCCCACCCCGCAGGGTCCTGTTTAATTAAGTAGAACGTGTTGTCTATATTTATTTAAAGTTGTGCATTTTGATATGACGTCACATTTCTCCCCCCCCCCCCCTCGTCACACATCGTCACAAATGTCTGACCCCGCCCCCCCCCCTAGGTGCGTGACGTCATTTATGGACGGCCCCACAGGACAGCACCAACCAATGTGTCACCACACACTTTGAAACGGTTAGCATCGTAACGGATGTCAAAACTGCACTCGTGGAAATTCCACATTCCCATGGCGGGGGGACGCGATTGCAGCCGCCTGAACGAGCGTCACGCGATGCCAAACATCCATTGGGTACAGGGGGGGGGGGGGGGGGGCAAAGTGGGGTGAAGCTGATGAAGTAACTCTTCCTGCACTTTATAATACTGTATTGTAATAAGAAATACATCGTGGCTGATGGTAACGGCTGTACTATACTATACTCTTAGGTTTTTTTCTGTAAAGTCACGTAGGTAAAAAATAATCGAAATACAATAATAATTAATGAAAATAAATCAATTAAATCACGACGTTTCGGAGGCAACACAAGTCTCCATCTTCAGGTGGGACCGTCACAGCTAAATTGACTGTATCAAGTGAAGAGAAATCCAAGAGACAAGATCTTATATACTGGTTCAGGGGAGGGGGGAGGAGGCCATTTAGATAAGCTCCTCCCCCCCCCACCAACCCACACACACCCCACCCACACACCCCACCAACCCACACACAACACACCCACCCACACGCACCCCACCAACCCACAGCACCCCACCCACCCACACCCACCACACACACACACACACCCCACACACACACACACACACACCCCACACACACACACACACACCCACCCACCCACACATACCCACCACACACCCCCACCAACCCACACCACCCCACCCACAAACCCCACCAACCCACACACACCCCACCCACCCACACGAACCCCAATAACCCACAGGCACCCCACCCACACCCACCACACACACACACACACCACCCCACACACACACACACCCACCCACACACACCCCCCATCCATCTACACACATCACGCACCCACCCACCCAGACACACGCAACCCACCCACACAAACCACCCCATCCACACACCACTCACCCACATCACACACACACCACACACACACCTCACACACACATACACCCCACGCATACACACACCCAATGCATGCACACACCCCACCCACACACCACCCACCCACACACCACCCACCCATCACCCACCCACACACCACCCACCCACATCACGCACCCCACCACCCATGCACACGCCACCCACACACCACCCACCCACATCACGCACCCCACCACCCATGCACACGCCATCCACCCAGACACACGCCACCTCACCCACCCACAACACACACCACCCACACACCCACACAAACCACCCCACCCGCCCACAACACACACCACACACCCCACCCACAACACACACCACACACCCCACCCACAACACACACCACACACCACACACACACCACCCACATACACACATCACGCACCCACCACCCATGCACACTAACCACCCAACCATCACCGACCAATAACCCCCTCCCTCCTTTCTCTTGACTCACTGTTACTGAAATAGCTAAAGATGTTTTTAACTCGTATATAATAACTGTATATATATATTAGTTTAGTTTCACCGTGTATTGACTTTCGAGGAAGACCGTCTCACAGTGACAGTATTAATGGAGAAGATTTAAATGTGCAATACGTCTTGCTTTCATGCAAGTTTGCAAACAAGCCTCGTGTTCAGTATTTTGTAAATAGAATTTTTTCAGTATATTGTAAATATATTTTTCATTTGTAGCAATGTATTTTGGCATTTATGGTTTTGTTGGAACGTTTATGAAGATTGTGTTACTTGCTTGCACCACACACACACACATACACCCCACGCATATACACACCATTCACATAACAAGCACACCCCACACACACACACCATGCTTGCACTCCACGCACACGCCACACACACCACGCACATATACACCCCACGCATACTCACACTGCACACACCATGCACACATCCCACACGAACACTCCATGCACACACCACACAGACACCCTACAGACACATACCCCATGCACACATCACACACCCCACGCACACATACACCCCCACACACTCCCCATGCACACACCACCACACACACCCCACGCACACATACACACCACACATACACACACCCCACGCACACATACACCCCACACATACACCCACCATGCACACCCCACACACACACCCCATGCACACATCACACACCCCACGCACACATACACCCCACACACTCCCCATGCACACACCACACACACACCCCACGCACACATACACACCACACATACACACACCCCACGCACACATACACCACACATACACCCCACACACACATACACCCCACGCACACAAACACACCACGCACACACCCCATGCACACACACACCATGCATTCACCCCATGCACGCACCCCGACTAGCGCCTAGGTCAACTAGAACACACAAACCAAACCTCTCCACCTGCGTTTTCATCCCGGCAACCGAGCGAGTGACCTGGCCAAGGGTTTCCCATGTGAGAGAGAATTGGCAAAGTTCGGTGTTAGATGTTGACTCCCGGACCCTGTGGTAAAACATGGGTGAGTTTGACGTGAGACCACCTCCAGGAGAATCCGCGTAGCATATGATGGTGCACCCAGATACACGAGCACTCAAGGGGGCTAAGTTAGAAAGGGCAGGTCGTGTTGGAATGCAATAAAACTGTTTCCTGAGACAGACGGTGTGAGTGGGAGAATGGCGAGTGTGGCCTGGGTGCATCATCAACACATCGCGCATCTAAAATTATCCCTGATTATGACAATAGAAACCGCTGTAAGTGTATCAAAGCGTGGCATTGGCATTGTGTGCATGTTGAGTAGCGTGGAGGGGGTAGGCTCGAGAATAAGCGTGGCAGGCAGAGGCCATGCGCTAAATGAATTTCCCTGGCATTAAGTGGCCAGCACGGCTAGTGGCGAAACTCTTCAACCTCGCTCCCGCTGGTCCCCATCACGGATCGTGTGGTAAACAGAGAGGTAGAGGGAGTCGGGGAGCACGTGTACGTGGCCTTAGAGCAAGTGGTGTGGTGGACCATAATGGGTGAAGGACGTTTTCCAGTTCGCCTTTAACACAGCGAATACATTCAGCATCTGCACATGCCCAGAGTTCATCACTCTATCTTCTCGGCGGACATATCTCAGCCGCATTCCATTCAGTAGATGAAACTCATTTTTTGTGTTCCTTAAAATAATTTGCCAGATTTGTATTATCTGATAGACACTTACAAGTATCCGTCCTGAAATAGTTGTCATATCATCAGCAGCAGCTGTCGTATCATGAGCACACTCTGAAAGTGACCTTCTCTGGCAACAATGTGAAACAACAACACCACTCCAACCTATGTCGGTGTGAAGCTGGACCGTACGCGAACCTTTCGCGACTAAATGAAAAAGGTAGCCGCCAAAACTAAAACAAGGGTCAACCTGGTCCACAAACTGGCAAGCACAGCCTGGGGAAGTCACACAAGCCATTGTGGTCCCATTCCCTTAACCTTGAACAATGCGAATTTAACCCCGATGAAGCTTGGACAATGTTAAGGGAGTTCAGAACTCACAAACACCTTGTGAAAAATCCAACGCAGATCAATTGTTTTGATCTTCCACGAAGCTCATGGTCCACCCTAAACCGCATCTGCACAAACCATGGCAGATGCGGATACCTGCAAAATTAAAACTCTCCAGTGTGCGATTGTGATCATCCAGAACGGACCATCCAGCATATGGAGCAATGCCCAATCCACAAATACGAAGGAGACATGACAGTGACACACTCCGCTGCTTCTGATGTGGCTATCTGACCTGAATGTGAAATTGTAGTTGTTGCTCTGTATCCGCATCTGCAGCCTTACGAAAGATCAGCAGCATCCATGTTGGATAAAGTCCTCTCCGAGCCGTCATCATCTCTCTCACGATGCTGTGAGTTGGAGAATGCTTCATTAATTTGGTGTTTGTCAAATCCAGGGCATTAATTAGGCTGATGTATCTATGCAATAGTTTTTGCATGTTGGTCCTTTGCAGACATGCATGGGTTTCTCCAGGCACACTGATTTGAACTCGTTGCTGTTATAGGTCGTAGCATTTTCTCACGTGGTACATAACTTGAGTTGCATTGCCACATTGGATAACGATGAACGCAAATAACATATGCATGAATCTGTCTTCAAAGCCCAACCCCAGCATGATTTACATGTGTAATGACCGAGATAACAGACCTCTTACCTGACACAAGTGTACGGTCTGACAATCATGACGTAAGCCAATGCCTCCCCCCATTGGTGGAAAAGCAAGGGGTGGACTGGAGGACAGTGGAGAACCGTTGGTGGGGAAGGATCAGGATTGGCCGAAGGGAGTGGGGGGTGAAAGAAGCTTCCAGAGAGGGGGCTTGGGAGGTATGAAAGGAGACCAGCACAGAGATCGGGGGACATTCAAGAGATGAAGGTCAAGCCTCAAGAACCAGTTCTGGGCATCGTTCGTGCTGTGTCTGAATAAAGGTTCTTGAAAGTCACAACATGTGTCGGCGTCACTACACATGTAAATTACATCACAATGTTTGCAGATGGCCTTGGCGATGAATGCTAGTGATGCAGAGGATGATTTCGACGCTGCTTTTGACATTTTCCGGGTTGAGAATTTTTATTTTTTATTCAAAAAATTAAAATTTTCACCAACAGTGAATTCAGCATGAACTACATTGACCTTCAAAAGCCAAACACATTTATGCACGAACTTAAAGAGCATTTGACAGCGCCAGGAAGCTTTCTCAAAACCAAGTAAATTGCCTGATCCAGCCAAACACATCTGAGCTGCACCAGCGCACGGCCCTCAGCATATATGTGTGTGTGTGTGTGGATCCCACTGGATATTTGCAGAGCTGAGCCAAAAGCAACTCTGGCCTCACAAGACAACTGAATATGTCTTGGGGCCAAGCAGGACCATGGGTGGGGTAGAAAAAATGTAACCGGTGCCTCCTGAGTCACGACAGGCTGATTTAGCACGGCTCAGTTGTACGGTGTAAAAGGGGTATAAGAAAGTTGCAAGTTTAAATATTGGTTGGAGATCAACCCTGGCCCACCATTATCCCTCTGTGATGAATCCATCGAGTACCACCTTGTGGATCAACAAGCTCCATGGAAAGAAAGCCCCCCCCCCATCATAAAACAATTGGAATTTCTACCAACTAGTGCGACCTCGTATTTGTCTGAGAAGGGTGGCAATATGGCTTTGTTGACTTTGCCAGTGCACGTTTCCACGCGTTCATATGAGGCAATGTAAGTGTGACTCGGCACGTGTTGTCACTGGTGATTGTGGCTGTTGAATCACAAAAGCCATCAGTCTTGAGGCTATATCCGTGAGTAATAAGAACAAATAGTAATTTACAACCCTTCGTCCATCCACTGCTGGATGAAGGCCTCCCCCAGTGCGCTGACTCTGGGGGATTGTTTGACCATCCTTCACCGTGCTAGTCAGTGCCGGGTTGAAGTGGTTGGAACCCAGGAGCGGCACAGATACAAATCTGCAAGCGATGTTAGCTGTGGCCAGAAATAGAACGCAGGTTTGCCAGGTTCTCAGCACAGCGCACTATCCAGTGCTCTCGCTACACCAGGATGGTTTGTACTAGATAAGAATTCCACAAGCATTGACAACACATTTGTACAGCTGCCCTTGCTTCAGCTAGTGCCTCCGATGCAGACAATTTCGTAGTAGTGTGCCTGCTACTAACGATCGGCTTGCCATGTATCTGTGCATTTACCTTAAACCTCGACTTCGCCGCATAACCTTATTCAAAACTCTTATCTGGTTATTTAAACCCAGTACCAAGAACTGTGCCTAAAAAATTAACACTAAACACGCACCTATATTCTCCGAAACAAGATACTTGATTAGCTCACCTTAATAAGCATGGTTTGAAATCTGCTCTTTGTCTACTGGCATTGTCTAAAATCTTACGAGTTGTATTTTGATCTGGTCTCATAACATGACTGCTGCTTGCGATGCTCTTTCTGACTATAACCAGATGAAAAGAGCATATTGAAATAGCACACCTCTTTCACAAGTGAGACTTGGGAGACCCCAAGTCTCCAAAGTCTCACTCACTCACATGTTATAAAAACTGCCCGCAAAAAATGACATCATAGAATGACTTCTGAGAACTGTTTCAGCGACTGTATTTTATCCATACACTAGGGGGTGCACTTTCCCATTCGTCCCGATAAAGATAAATGTTCAGCAAAATAAAGCGAAAGGCAAATTCAACGTGGTGGGGTTTTGTGCAGTCATTTGTGACCAGGCCAAGACTGTAAACTCACTCCACTTGAGAACAGAAACTGAAAGCTGGATTTGAACCTAGGTTTTCAGCAGCGCCAGAGAAGTACTCTGGCCCCTGATCCACTCCGGCCATTTTTTTTTCATACTCCATCGTTCTTAACAGTAAAACATTTTGACGTGGTTTCAGGTTGTGCCACTACGCGTTGTTCAACACAACGTCCGACGTTTCGCCCCATGTGCCGGGAGCTTCCGACTAACACACACTAAGGCTAACAACACGCGGCACAACCCAAAAATGCACGAACTGAAAAACCTTATCAGCGTGTGGCGTGAAACATTGGGGACATCGTGCCAAACAGTACAGCACAAATGCGAAAAACCTACGACCTCAGCTGGAATACAACGATGGCGGCCTCAAAAAGTTTCCCCCACAGCACCACTTTCCTCCACGTGCATACGCTGGTGGAAGCGCAGGTCAGTGGAGCGCGTGAAGGTCTGGCCACACACGTCGCAGCTATACGGCTTCTCGCCCGTGTGCGTGCGCTCGTGTGCCCTCAGGTCGCCGGGCTGCGAGAAACCGCGCCCGCACTCGGTGCAGCGGTGCGGCCTATCGCCGGTGTGCATCTGCTGGTGCCGCTTGAGGCTGAAGCTCTGCGAGAAGCACTGGCCGCACACCTTGCAGCGGTAGGGCTTCTCGCCCGTGTGCTTCCGCAGGTGGATCTTCAGGTGGCAGCGCTGGGAGAACCCGTGGCCGCACACCTTGCAGCAGAAGGGCTTCTCTCCCGTGTGCTTGCGCAGGTGGATCTTGAGGTCGCATGGCTGCGAGAACCCGCTGCCGCACAGCTGGCAGCGGTGAGGCCGCTCGCCCGTGTGGATCTGTTGGTGCCGCTTGAGGCCGAACGCTTGCGAGAAGCCGTGGCCGCACACATCGCAGCAGAACGGCTTCTCGCCCGAGTGCATCTGCAGGTGGCGCCGCAGGCCGAACGCCTGCGCGAACACCTGACCGCACACCTTGCAGCGGTAGGACTTCTCGCCCACGTGCGTGCGTGCGTGGGCCTTCAGCTGGCTGCTCTGCGCGAAGACCTGCCCGCACAACTTGCAGCGGTGCGGCTTGTCCGCGGCGGCGGCGGCTGCATTCGCCAGCGAGCACTTGTGCTCGTACGGCTCGGTATCTCCACCGGAGGGCTTCTGCCGGCGCTTTGCCGAGACCCTCCTGCCGATGGTTTGCCTGCGCGGGAATGAGCGTCGCCCCCTCAGCGGCTGGGCTGCAGTCTTCACGACGGCGGCGGTGGCGGCGATTTCTTCTTCTGCTTCGGTCATTTCGCCTTTCTCCGACTCTGTCAAAGCGTATTGGCCAGCGCCTACCTCGTACGCATTGGGCAGCGAGGTCACGCCTTCAATGATGAGATCTGGATGGCTCTCCAGCAGACGTTTACCTGCAGCAGAAGATGCACCAGTCGCATTGCTGTTACGCGTTTAAACCGAATAAAGTAGAAATAAAAGTTAGTGTCGACCTGGCTAATTAATCAGTTGAAAGAGAAGTAACGTGGCCGAGCGACAGGGTATAAATGCAAAGCATTAAAATGGCATATTTCAGAAATGGCGTTCGCATTCGTCACATTGGTATTTTTTAAAAATCCCACGGAACTATAAATTATTCAAATTGAGCGAAGAACCAAATTTGATGACGGGTTTTTTGCATGCATTCATTGGTGCCATCAGCATTTGTTTTAAACATCTACCGATTCGACTCACACTTACCAAAGCGTTTCTTTGTAGTGTACTCCACGGAACCTTGCTCTGTCAATTGAGGATCCAGTATGGAATTCGAGAAATAAGCATCGTCATCTGGAAGTGGGGAAAACAAGCGGTCAAGTGTTCAAACGAAACTGGTGTCAGGCAAAGTTACTGCTGCATCGGTCACTTTTGCGCGAGTGACTCTGTGACATGTCATCGGTTAACGTCCTTTCTAAAAATGAAGAACGGTAGTGCGGTGGCTCTTGCACTGCATACTGAACCCGCGACACGACTTGGATTCCCGGTCACGGCTACCATCAGCGGCAAGTGACATCTAAATGGTTCCTTTACCAACCGACAGTGACCAAGCACGGGTGTGCGGTGGTAGGGCTACATTACAACAACATTGACACAACAAAATATTATTCCGCAATATAACACTACGAATAAATGGGATATTTTAAATAACATATAAAAAGTTTTCGTGACCAATATTATCCATAATTGAGGTTTTTGGGTTAGATCGTGTAAATATGAATGTGTCGTTAAAGCCCGCTACCACCTGACACAGCCAATTAGTAAGGTTTGTTAGGTAAACAGAACATGCCAATTCGTTACTAGTTCAGCACACCGGTGTGTTGGAGAGTAAAACCACAACATTTACAATTCGAGTACAGTTTTGTTGACGTGACAAACCTTATTAATTGGACATGTCGGGTGGTGGCGAGTTTAACGACGCATTTTTATTTACACGATCTAGCTCAAAATAACCTCTATTATGGATAACATATAAACAGTAACATCAAGTAACAGTAAAATAGTGTGGTGATATTCTATACACAATGGTGTTCAAGCCGTACCTTCATAGGACTCCATTTTAACATGATCCGTTGCTATGGTGCCATAGGAGGCATCCATGACTGGAGTGGACCTCTCGTCTGGCTTATCTGCACATATACAAAGCCACTGCATCAACACGCGTATAAGCCACTGACACATACAAGTCATCAATACAGAGTATGTACAGGGTCATCAAATTTGTAGGCACTCCACTAATTTTCTAATGAGCAGGTGAATCCTTGAGAGACCGAGAGATTCATTTGCAAGAGTGGACCCCGAGCAGAGGTCGCAAACGGGTTTTGATTCCTTACCCGTACCCGGCCCGCACCAGGGTCGCAAACGGGTACCCGTACCCGTACCCGGCCGGGTACGGGTACGGGTAGCCGGGTATCGGGTAGGGTACGGGTATCGGGTACCCGATTGCGACCTCTGGGATGAAGCCATGTTGCAGGCGCGAGTGGGTTGATTCTAGAAACTTGAATTGTGAGAAGAGACAAGACGTTGGAAAATGAGTGACAAACAGTTACTCACCAGTGACTCACGGCCTATCCGTACCAGTACCCGGCAGCACCAGGGTCGCAAACGGCTACCCGTATCCGGCCGGGTACGGGTAGCCGGGTATCGGGCAGGATACGGGTATTGGGTACCCGATTGCGACCTCTGACCCCGAGTCATCAAAATTACAAAAGCAAATAACAAATGATCACGTGCAACTCCGAAGTAAAGAGAAATCAGAGCAAACAAGCAATAGCGTCACAGATGGAATAACAAAAGAATGCACGGACATAAATCAACATTAATCTCGATTAGTTTCCTTGAACAAAGGTTGGCTTCTGACAAATAACATTTAAAACCATTCACAGCAAAATGTAGTGACGCAAACATTAACAGAGGATTAGGGTATTATTTAACTCGAATGTAAAAATGACGTGTCAATACAACTGCAAGCGAAGATATTATACAGAATCAGCCGTTCTGCATCAAATTGTAAAATAGATGGAAGAGTAACCAAATACATTTTTGAAGGGCTGTACGTGTACATTGTAATGTTGTACTCAGGACGATCACTGTATAGATACATCTGTGATGTTTTAATAACAAGTCTTCTCGAAAGGGTGATTGAATATTGTGAAACCGGTGGCTGCATATATGACAAAGAAGAATGTCAAAGGAATTCATGAAGTGTATTGAGTGTGGTGAGAGCCACATAAAAGTTTTGAAATAGTGGGGTGCATATATGAACCTTAGGGTGGGAACTCGGGGTCCCGAATAAACGGAAGTCAAATCGTAATGAATCAATTGATTTTTGGCGACTCCGTCCCACCGCGCACATGAACGCCGCGACCCACCTGGCGCGGATCATTCTGTTGTCATGTCGTCCAAGCGCAGCAGCGAGGACGAATGCGCAGAAGAAACAAAACTTTGAAACTTTGACAAGCGCATCGTGTAGAGCTCGTCGAGAGGAATAGATTGCCATATCGTTCGCCTTCAACAGACAACGCAGTTTATGCGAGAGCCCGGGGGCTTATGGGAACCCCGGGGTCCCGCCATCAGGTTCATATATCAATGGATCACCCAGAGTATGTGATCTCATGATAAGGCAATTCGGCAAATCAGGCCAATCTCAACTTTCAAAATGTCGCAATTGTCATTATACACAAAGTGACCAGTGTGGTCGTGTAAGGTAAAATAATGTCCAGAATCCACACAGGCATGGAGAGGCCCTCATCCAGGAGTTGATTGACACATCAGGGCAGTACTCGTCCACAATACGTACGAGGTGTCGTTTTGGGGGAAATTGTCCAGTTTGGTGAACATGGCTTAATTACAGAATACGTCAACGGTAAGAAACAAACGTGAAACTGAATGCAGCATCACTATCCCGGTGTGGGTGAAAAAGTCAGCTCAGTCTTCGTACATCTGACACCGCAGCATGAAAATTTCTCCCTTATCCAGCAAGGTGGACGTTATGTCCATCTGAAATGCAGTTCCGAATAGTCAAACACCTTTTAAAATGTTGAAAATTTACAAATCAAAAATCATGGAACCGCTTCCATAGTCAAACTGGCCAAGTGGCAGAGCTTAAGGGAGTGTCTACATCATGGGACCTCCTTTGCCAGTACCAAAATATGACATAGGGTTTCCCCTTTTTTCTGGCAACAAAAACAGGGTGTTAAGAAAAACTGAGAAAAAAACCTATTATCTTAAGGGAGTGGTCGACTTGCAAGTGGGGAAGGCTCAAGTTCAAACTCACTCGGGGGTTGACTCATTCCTGCGGGGTCAATAAAACAGGCACGATTGTTGTAAAGTTAACAATGGCATCTCAGGAAGGATGCGGTCTCCATCCAAGGAAAGTGGAGTTTCCATCAATGGCTCAAGATCTCGAATGAGGTATGTGTGTATGTTAAACTTCTTTCGCACGGTAAGCAGCTAACAGTGCTTAATCAGAGGTGTGACTGTTCAATGCTGGAAGGAGGCAGTTATTAAATTGGACTTGGGGACAGTTATTAAATTGCACTTGTCCTTGCCATTCCACTGCTGGATGAGGGACTCTCCAAGCCATGCAGATCATGCTGGTTATTTTACCACACTTCACCACATTCGTTCATTGTGGGCTGATGATGGCAGGGAGCATGCGGCAGCACACAAGCTGCATCATGAATTCGAATGAATCGTGTTATCTCAATGAGTTATACAGGTACAAAACGCAAGTGCGGCCTTGTTCGTCGTATTTGCAGCTGGTATCACAATACTTTATTCCTCAAACTCAAGTATTAAGTTTCCACTCTGTGAACTATTCTACTGTAATGATGAGAGGTTTAAGAGTTTCGTACCATTTTCGACATGACGATCCATTTCAGTGGTCTCATCTTCAAAACTGCCAGCAACTGTCCCCAACTTTAATCCATCCCACTCGCCCAGCCTCTGCACGGACAGCAGCAGCTCCCGGCTCAAGCCGCTGAACAGAGCGAGCAGCACCTCCACCAGGCCTCCCAGTGTCACGTCGCCAGGGGAGGAAGCGGCGTCGTCCCATCGCGGCGTCTCAGCGTCGTGGGGCTCGGTACCCTGAAGGGCCTTCACCACCTGCCGCAGCACGGCGTAGAAGCCGAAGGGCAGGCGGTCGCGCGCCGTGGCCAGCAGCTCGGCCCGCACGAGGCCATCCCTGACGCAGGCACGCAGGACCCCGTAGTCCCGGATGCCCAGCTCCGAGTCCATGGCCCGGGCCACCTCCTCGTTCACGCCCTGCGCCTCCAGCCACGCCGGGAAGTCCCCGCTCGGCTCCAGAATCGGGGTGGCCACCGCGCACGCCATTCTCTGTTCAGACACGATTAGGCATGTCACTGCGATCAAAGTAAACTTTGGTTAACAAATAATGTTACATTGGGGTCAAGCGTGACATAAGTGAGGTAATTCTCCCACGTTTTAATCCACCAATGCAAGTGACTGTATTAGGATGGTGATTTTACAGTATTTTTATTGTACAATGATGGTCTCAGGGCTGTGGTCAGAATGAATGGGAAAAAATACTGCTAAAGTGGCTCAGCCCAGACACAATGTCATATTTTTATATTTGGAGCAGTTCTTCCAATTAAGAGCCTCTCAGTAACAAATTTTTTTATACAAAACTGAAAATAATCACATGAATTTCAAATTAATTCTTACACATGAAAGTACATCACCAATTTGCTGGTGCAGTGGAGCAACATCAATTGTTGTACTGAACTTACACGCTCCCCGCCTTCACCCACCCGCACCGTGGCGCGTGGTGACGTACGGTCAAAATACCCCCACGATCTGCACTGT